TTTCCCTTCTAGTTTTTTTTTATACCTTTTTTGCAGGTCACCAGATACCATGTCTTCTCCTTGACCTATACATATCAAACACGTTCTCTTGTGCAATTTAACTGTTGGAGAAGTGCAATCTGCCACGGCAATAGCGTTTTTTTGCCTTATACATGCCTTAATCGTTTAGCTTAGAGGCCACGATAAAACGTGAGTTACCATTTCGCGTTCACACCACATCTGTCCTGAATGTCAGAAGCCATGTTAGTTTGGACCTGGTGGACAACACTGCTACGACATTCACACTCATTCTAACCATGGGCACAAGATATAAAACCGCCCGGGTAAAGATTGCCGTGCGTATGTATTGTAGTGTTATTGATTTGGGGAGTAATAGTGCTTCGTTTTATTACGAGCTTCAGAGTGTGTTGCTAGCACACCTCTGTGGAGGTGGACAGCAGCTTCTTAATAAGAAAATAACATCACACGTCCCTGCATATAATGGTCTCACCTCTATGGCCTGAATATTTTGCGTCGGTAGCAAAGCTTATCATTTGTTAGTCTCTGTAATGTGGTGTGTTTGTGTGTATGTGTGTTTGTGTGCTTGCAATGACTCTTGAATACCAACTTTAGCCTTTATGTAATGGAACATGACCTTATTGCTAATACCTTGACTAATCACATTACTGTATTTTTAGGCGATCCGTTGTGAAAAAGAAATTTAACGAGAACGATGCTATGAATGCATAATTTTCATTTTAATCAATTAATTATACAAAAACTCAACACGTTAATAAATTACATTGCCTTCAAAGGCAATGGGTCCTTTTCATAAATAATTAGAGTAGCCAGACAGAGATCTACTACCAAGCAGGGGCATTGCCTGAAACGTTGCCTGTTATATATTTTTACAACTAAGGCAGTGCTTATTGACACATATATTGGCTGTTTATTTTAATTAATGTTTTAAAAAAATACAGTTATAGGGCATTCTTCTATTTGAAGCTTTATAATCCATTGTTTGAAACACACGTGACGTGGAGGTTAGATATTTGAACTAATCAGCAAATTACATGTCTAAAACGCAAATTAATGTAGCCTGTTGTTTCAAAGTGGAAGTGGTGTAATGTTCTATATTGACTTTGGACTAGATTACTAAGCCATTAAAAGATACAGACAGCCCTACATTCGGCGCTGCGCGCGTGCCGTTTTAAAACTTGCTATTGATTTTCTGCTCATGTTAAAAATGGGTGAATAATCCCACCGACATTATAGAGGCGAAGATCTCTAAAGGAACCTCATAAAACGTCACCAGCCATGCAATAGAATGGCGATTGTATTGTTGTGGCTAGTGCTCAGAAATAAATTGTCAGGATGCACTGTGCTCTTGTGAACTAAAGTGTGTGATAAAAACGGGATTAGCCACGTAGAAAAAAAATGCAATTTAAAATGTGCTCTTAATGATTTTACGGAGCAACCTTTAAAATTACAGGTTTCAGTAGAGAGAAAATACCACGTCATGAACTGTAACGAATGTACATTGACGGATTAAACTTAATGAAGTTAACAGATAAAAAAAAACACGGCACACTCGTCAATAACGCCGCCGATAAAATGGGAAGGCTATCCACTCGGCAATGCTTTGGACAGTGGCCTTTTTTCATCGCAAGAGCCATCGCCTGAAATGTTGCGTACATTGCCCATGTATAATAATTATAATAATAACAAAAATAGGTGACACTGTGGGCAACGGCCCTGGCCATCAATAAAGGGCATTGCCCAAAACGCCACATGATATAAGGCAGTGGTTCTTAACCTCGGGTGTGAGATGCCCTTTCTAGGGGTGCGAGACATGGCCAGCTTTTTTTAGAAGGTAAATAATCGAAACAACACAAATTAGGCATGGGCACATAAGTATTTTGTTTCATTATAACCTGCGTATTTATTAACATGATACATTTTATTTGTTTACGATTAAGAAACAAAGCGCTGCAAGGCTGCTCTAAGGCCATTGTGATTGACAAACGTGTAAAGTAAAAAATTATTCACGCATTTATTTTTTGGTTACTTAACACATTGGTCAATAACAGTGCCTTAAGGGGATATACATTAGCGTGCAGTGGAAAGAGCCTCCTCCTCCTCCTCTTCTTGGGACTTTGATATCCAGCTTGATTCTTACTAACTGGAGCGTCCGCTCGGTGAGCTCTCCGTCAACAAAAATGATCCAGAGGGCCTATCTACGTGCGTTGAAGTTCTCTCGCACCATATAATAATAATAATGGTTTACCCTTTCTGGCAATAAAACAGGTGTCAAGATGTTAAAACACCAAACACAAACCTCTTGCAAGGAATCATGTCTGCATTAAGCACATATACCTGTGGTGAACATGCAAACAAAAATCACACGCTTTGGCCGTATATGCATTGTCTTTGAAACTGAATGGTCCACACCAGAAACAGCTTTCTTTCGACCCGAATGCCATCTCGATCACATCCTGACAAGTAATACGTAGAACTTCCTTCGCACCGCACGTAGCCAACCGTGCTAATCGGAAGTGCGGGGGGGGACAACGGCAAATTGCACTCCGTGTGATGGGTGTCCGTGCAAAATTGCACGCAGCTGGGAGTGCGAGACATGGGCAGATTTTTTTTTAGAAGGTAAATCATCGAAACACGGCTTCTGCACGAGCTCGGCACGCTGAACGGTTTAGGGTTTTGATACGCCTTTCCGCGAAGATGTTAATTGAAAACCGTTATATAAGGTTTGTGGCACAGGTGGTGCAGCCGACACCACATGTCTCTTGCATGTGGCCTAGGCTGATGGGTATAGAACAGAGCTGTGTTGTTCAGGGGAGTTATCACGTGTGTTATTTAATGTTTTTAGTAGGTTTGCAATACGTTAGAGGGGGTGTTCAATGAGGGTGAATGGAGCGGAGCAAAATCAACGGTTGAATGAAGATTACAAGTGTGAAATCATATTGGCTCAACGTTGCACATCTACCATATATTTATATTGCAACAAGGAATCCGTAAAGTTTAATATTTCCAAACACTTCCATAAAATACGAACTGGAGCATATAATTGTTTTAGAATCTGATCAATAGGCAACATCTAATTTTCATCACGATTTGGGGTTGCAAATGCTTTTCCTTCCTCGAACTTTTTTTCAACAAGGTAATAATATGCTTACTTTATAGTCCGTTATAGTTTGCGAACATACACTGCGGAATATGGTGCTGAAGAGCGGCTTTATTGTAGAGTGCAGTGCGTCCTGCATTCCGTGCACCAAGCGTGATGTTCTGCTGCTTTTATGAGACTTCACTGCACTGCACAAGCAGGCAGTCGAGTATGATGAGTGGCATGAGGTGGGAGAAGAGAATGATAATTATAGAACTAGGCTGACGAGGCACGGTAATCGTTATCAGAATATGTATTCATCGTACGGTGCAAAAGAAGGTCAACATACATACATACATACCGGAGGAATCCCATGAGCTATAAAGCTTTTTCCACACATGTCCAGTAGAGGCGGGTCAGGAAGTTACAACAACAAACAGAAAACACGATAGGAGTGCAAAGTGTAGGAAAGGTAAGAAAATCACTAAACCATTTTATTTCAAACAGATCAAGTATACAAGTTCAAATTACATAAGTACACCGATTCGCAAGCTTCGGCAAGGGACCAAAAGAACAGCAACATCTCGGTCACACAACGTGACGTGGATGTCTTCGATGGTAAGCCTGAGCAGCTGATACATTGCACTATGTATGGCCGCTTACATAGGCGTACATCACAGTGCGCTCGTTGAAGAAGTAAGGGAGAAGTCAGCAGATAGACGAGCGAGAGAACCAGGGGCGGTTTCTTCATTAGGGCGATTGGGCGACGCACCACCAATGTCATTGAACCACAGAGTCACGCTAGCATTCACTGCAGCCTCTGGATATCTCTATGGCTTCCGGGAGGGCTCGCCCTAACGTGCTTACGTCATCATACGTGCTTACGTCATCATACGTAAGCACGTTTCATCCAACAATATAATTTGTGGCCACCTAGTGGAATCTTTAATAAAATAAACTTGAGTGGTTTGTTTTAATAGTGAGTATAGAAACAAACAAGATGTATTGTAAGAGTCACTTTATTTTTCATTAATATTAAAGAAGTGAAGTTGCCTTTACATGCTTAAGCTGTTAATTTATCCATTGCATGGGTGGACCTTATCCTTATCAATCATCCAGACATTTGCCTCCCCTGAGAGATTTTGCAGGAGCCGCCACTGGAGAGAACCCGCGTTGGATCACACCCTGAGCTGAGCCAGCGCGGGTTCCTCAAAGTATCGGTGGCTTCCCGCTGAATATTTGCCGTGCTAAGCCAGAACCAAACCGTGATAGATACGATCACCTCACAGGACATCTGAATCAGGGCTTAGGGCCTAGCAGGACCAGCGGGCGGAGATAATGACCCGTTCATATCATTGGTTCTTTCAGTAAAGTCACGTAGAAGGGAAATAATAAAATAATATAAATATAAAACAATAAAAATTCTCACGTTTCGACTGCAACACAAGCAATCATCATCAGGTGTTATCTAAGACTACCCTCGAGAGCTCCTGATGACGATTGCTTGTGTTGCAGTCGAAACGTCGTGAGAATTTGTATTGTTTAATATTCATATTATTTTATTATTTCCTTTCTACGTGACTTTACCGAAAGAACCAAGAACATGAATCCCTGCAGTCACGAAAGCTTTAAATCAAAATGACCCGTTCGTTGCGTGCGACATCAGTCCACTTCGTCTTCATGCGTCTCGGCTCATTCGTTGCGCGTGACTCAACAGCGGCACGGCTGAGTTTCTGCGGTGGACAAGCAACCTGGCAGCCTCCCGAGCCATGCCAGGCTTGGCTCGGCGCGATTCGGTTGGCAATTGGTTCAACGAGGCGCGAGAGAGCGGCGGTCTGCCCACGTGCGGAGTGGTTGCGAGCTCTGTGTTGTTGCTGTTGCGGTCGCGTTCTGGATGCTGCAGGTCTCACCGTGTCCACCGTGCAGTCGCCCGACAGCTACCCGCTGCACGGCTCCTACCCGTGCTCGTCCGCGTCGCAGATGGACACGCTCCCCTTGCAGCCGACGCGCTCGTACCCCGCGCACGGCCCCGGCTGCTGCACCTCGCCCGACGAGCCCTACTCCATGTCGGCGGCTGTCAACATGAGAGGTGGGGATGGTCCCTGCACCGCATTTGTCAATGGCTGTGACCCCAGGTGGTGCGACTGCTGTTCCGCTGGAGACTGAATCTGGACATTACTGAGTCGGCCGTGGTCTATCGATCAAAGACTGTGCAGTACACTGTGATGAAGTTCAACGCAATGCTGGCACCAGGATAAATTGATTCATGCCACCCGGACAAAGATGCTGATTCACAGACTTGCACCGGGTTTAATCATGGAAAGGTGGCAAGCTGAGGTGACTCATTGCCATGGTAGCCAGAAACTCCGGTGAGATATTCCTGACGGCAATTCCGAGGTCGGAACACCCTATGCAGTGTGACACAGATTGTGCCCTGTTTGTGATTACATTTAAGAACAATTATAATAACATTCGCAGTAATTAACATTATCAATAGGTGCCATGCAGTTAGTCTGTCGTCATGTTGGATGTGGTGAGGTAAAGTGTAGGTACTGCCACCTCTTTCAGGATATCTGTCCAGTGTGGAAAAGTAGGCCAAATACCCGATCGAAGATGGCCTTCCACCAGCCTTGAGAATGAAATTGAGCGACTGCACCTTTACCTTTCATTGCCATTCGTGTCTTGCCACCTCCGATTAGCACAGTTGATTATGTACGGTGTGAAAGAAGTTCGACATACATACATACAAGTTATTACAGAATTTAATAAGTAAATCAATGGTGACCACTTAAGCAGTTCTACATTTGCGTAAGCTCGGGGATGGCCCGATTCACACATCAGTGAACCTGGCTCCTATCTGTCCGCCTCTTGTCGAAAATGTGCCAATGGCGCCGTTAACAACGCCATGGCAAATCGCCAAGCCGATACGTTTTGCCCATTTTGTCAAGACGCGAATCTGGCCCAGGGTGTATCGTAGATGGATGCTTTGCCATTATCTCCGCTGAAGGCTATACAAAAAAGGGCGATTAAGAACAATTTTACTTTTGACAGTAGAACAGCGTCTGAATCCGATGACCGTATTTCTCGATGCTGCACAGACACAGTGGACACATTTAATTTATGGAAAGGGGAAGTCAGTCGCTCACACAGGCAGAGTTACAAACGAAGGTCTGCAGCCTGGACTTGAACATGAAGTGAGAGGCATTCTGGGGCACGTGTCTATGTCCACACAAGGTGGTAAAGGTGCAGCCCTGCAATTGCTCAAGGTACTGTTGGTGAAAGGGCCTCCACTGGTAGGAACTCTGACCTACCTTCCCACGCGAGGCAGACGCCACACACAACCTCTCGTAAACTGTTGACAGAGGTAGGGGCATTTCACCCCTTTCCCGTGCCGAGACATCTGAAAGTGGCAGGTTGGGTCCCATTCACCGCGGAATCTCGGAACGCGCAAGCGGTTCACGTTAATTTTATTGGAGAGGCATAGCACCGTTGTTTTTTAAAGACATTGTACTCACCGCAGAGAACTGTAGCGACACGACCGCACTCTATGATAGCTGGCGCCAAACTGTGCCACGCCCTCCCGCATGGCCTTATGGGAGCCTCGGTACCGATGAAGTTATTTACTTATTCAGATTCCGTTCCGATGACGTACACGTACCTCATCAGAATGGAAAGAGGGTTAAGAAATCAGCCCATTGCCTGAACTGCCTCGTCGGGCGATTCACCTGATGATAAGTGGGTACACAACTCATTCGGTAGGTCGTGTACGGTCCTGTAAGGTGTGGGTACTCACACCTCTTCCGAGATGTCTCACCAACGTGGAGGAGTAGGAGGCCCTGTGTTGGCAACATTCAACCTTTCTGCGAGGCACTAACTAGTTTGCATAGGGTGTTCGTGTCGTTTTCCTTACACTGTCACGCACACATTTCTTGGACCCTTCCAAAAAGTGCGTCGACACTGCTGATGATGAAATAGAGACTGCGGCGAAAAACTGCTGTTGCCAACATCTCAGTGCGGTGATTAATGAGGAGCAAACTCCACTAAATTGGGTTTTGCCGACTGCAGTGGATTTTAAATGTCAAGCACTTGAATTGGTTTTAATTTACCCGGTCTTTGATGCCTTTTTTGACATTTCTCTCCAAGCAGGACGGCACCAGCTGCCTCCAGGATTCATGTCCGAAATGTAATGGCTGAAAACGGAGAGAACTGCACATGCCGCATCACGTGTTAGCTGTACAACTGCCCCAGCTGTTGCTGAACCTCATTTTCACGTCACGTTTAATGTATTCAACGTCACGACGATACAATTAATCGCATTATATGTTCCTGCAGTTTGTTTAATGACAATTACTTAATTGTTCATAAATTATATGATGGTATTTTGTTCAGAAATAATAAACTCAAAGATTATAGTGACATTATAATTTATATATTGACAATTAATCTGTTTTGCATGCTTATTCGTTGACATCATTCCATAATGGAGAGATTTTAATTTGCGCGTAAAAATCTGAAGAGGTCTGATCATTTTGATCCACAGCTGGTCCCTTTTCTTTAATGATGTCCACAGTTGCTCCGTCATATCGTATTCTCCTTATCAATACTGTGAAGGGCAGTGGTTATTTATTCATTTGCAACATCTGTAAAATCATCCCCCGTATCCGAAGAGAGATTTTGTTTCCTACGGTATGTAATTAGATTGTTTTGTTTGCTTCAAAATTATGAACTATAAAAAAAACTATAAACACATTTTTTTTTATTTTACCAAGGAAGGCCCACTGAGCTACATGGCTCTTTTTCGGAATCAACTTGGCCACAAACGAAGTGGCTTATCACGTGGACATGTATAGCAGCCCAATACTCTCAACGCATGTTTCTCAATGTGGAGGCACAAACCGGAAAACCTGATAAAAATCCACACCACCACGGCGAGAACGAACGAATTCAAAATATGCAGGCATCAGAGTTGGGATCAAATCCACGACCTCCTGTATACCAGGCGAGGTAAATTTCTATTTAAAGCTTTCGTGACTGCAGGGATTCATCTTCTTGGTTCTTTTGGTAAAGTCACGTAGAAGGGAAGTAATAAAATAATAAAAATAAAACACAATAAAATAATTCTCACGACGTTTCGGCCACAACGCAAGCAGCCGTCCTCGACGGACCTGGTTTTCACCCGAGGACGGCTGCTTGCGTTGTGGCCGAAACGTCGTGAGAATTATTTTATTGTGTTTTATTTTTATTATTTTATTACTTCCTTTCTACGTGACTTTACCGAAAGAACTAAGAAGACCAGGCGAGGTAGTTAACATAGCGCCCGTTAATATCTGCGTCGCATTTCTCCGCGAGGTCTATGACTGTCTCCATCATTTGTTACGGCTGCATCTTGCCCCTCAGGGCTTCTATTTGTAATTCGTTAATCATCAGCTTCTTTTTTTGCTGCCACATCCTCCTATTCCTTATTATGGCATCTTCGGTCATGTTTGCGTTGTGTTTTCTCACGGACTTTTTGAGTTGTTGTTTTTTTCCCCATTTTTTTTACCAACTCTATTTTTCTTCTCTCTTCCATTTCCTCATAGTTTTTTTAAAGTCAGTTTAACACTTTGGCTTTCGCGACCAATATTATCCAATATTTTTACGCAATCTCACCCAAACACCTCTATTATGTTTTTTCAAGTGTTTTTGCGTGTGCGTGTAAATCTGTTTCTCGTGCAAGAAGTGGCTGTGCATGTGTAGTGTGCGCATTACGTGTTTGCATGAGTGCACGCATAAAGCCCCGTGGGTAAATACATGGTGTGTTTTAATATGTATGCGGGATTTGTGGGACGCATTGGCACATTTTGCTATGAACCCAGCGACCCGAGTTTGATTCACATTCATGGCCGACATTGGTGAAGAATATCTGAACCGGTCCTGAGCCTCCCCTAGGTCGACTCAGCTTTAAAAAAAAGTACCTGGTGTGGTGTGTAAACATCACAGCTGGGGAGACAAAGGCGGACCGGTTGTAATGTTGGCCGCCTAGCCCCTTGTGTGCCGTGCTGGCATTCGTAGGTGCTCGCGAACAGCACTTGCCCCAAAAGTCGGCTAAGGCTATACGGGGGATCTTTGTCTTTGTCGATTACAAATGTATAACTGTTGCTTGTCAGTGTGCACATTGATCTGTATATGGGATTTCACGTACTATATATGCATGAAAAATAGCGATACCATGTGTCAGCATCATTGTGCTTTGAGTGACAGTCAAGGAAATTATTACTTACACTTTAGCAAATTCCCATTAGCTGTTGGATGATGAAATGTGCCTTCCATAGATTAACTGTGATCAATAAACACAGCCTATATTTTATTATACCAACATACATCATTAAAGATAATAGTAATTCTATTAAACTTCATAGAACCCATTTATTACTCTTTTTCCAAAATCAATCGGAGGATCAATTCAGAGTGCTGAAGAGAATCTCCATATTCAAACGAGCATTGTGCTCATCTCTATTGGCAGGCCTTAACCAGTGGTGAATATTCCAAATTCCTAGAGTCTGGGCGAGTCTGTCCATAAGGCAACCGCTGCTGACTTCCCATAAAGTGGTAATCATTTGATCGACCCCGGAGGGAAACTGGAGCAAGTAGACCCCCAGCCGGGATTTGAACTCACACTTTCACAAATTAATCTTCAGTTTTACTACCACAACACTTTTCTTCCATGTATTGCTGTCTCTTCCATCACTCGTCACATAGGGCGCCGCAGTGGCGAGATGTTAGGTTTCTCGCCTGGTATGCAGGAGGTTGTGTGTTCGATCGCGACCCTGACGATGCCTGCTGTATATTTGGAGTTTGAATGCTTTACCCTTGGGTGCGTGGATTTTTGTTTCGGGTCCTCCGGTTTTTCTCTCCACATTTAGAAACACGCGTTTAGAGTGTTTGGCTGCTCTAAATTTCCACGTGATAAGCCACTTCGTTGAGCTATCATTTGTGGGCAGGTCGCTTCTGAAAAAGCTCAGTGGGCCTCACCTGGTAAAATAAAAAAAAATTGTTACTAGTTTGTTTCAATTATCTAGTTCATAGCAGCTGATGCTTAAGCTGGATGAACTTCTTCCGCTCCTTCCTTTACTCTGGTGAGGACGATCGCTTCCTGTAGGCCTACGTTTTTCTCCGTCAAGTCCCCCTCTCCTTCGTGCCCATGAGTCCACCATCTCGCTGCGTGCGTGGATGGCCTCTACTTCTTGCTCCGTCCACGCGGCGGTGCGAGGTCACCAAAGGTCACTTGTTGGCCTCCGTTCTCTTCGCATGTCCCAAACCAAAGAGGTGGCTTGTTTTTTTTGTTGCTTGGGCCTAGCGTGTCAACAGCCTGAAACACATCACCAGGGCGTGTGCCCCGATCGCGTCAAATGTCAGAAGATCAGCAGGATTTTAGCCTGTAGAGTGCTTGGACGAGCGTGCACCGGGTGTACTCGGCGTTGTGGGCCTTCGATGGCAGTGCAGCGAAATCCATTGTTGTTCTGCACTTCCACCCCCACCTTCACCAACTCTGACTGACCTATCGTGATGATGTATGGTCAAATATTCCTCAACGGCCCTGCAAGGTGTAAGGCAGGCCCCCATCCATCAGTGGATTGACAAACAGGCTGTACAAGTCCGTCTAATTTGTGAGTTTTTATTCTCTCGGCACTCCCTGGATTTCTTCTCATCCAGTTTATTTCTGCTACCAATAATGTCGTCCGGCAATAATTTGTGTCGCTGCCATTCATCTTGCCATGTGACTTACAACTGTATTGGATTCTTGTTGTTGCAGTGAATGGCAAAAACCCAGCCTTCGTGGATGATTTGAACACCTCCAATTGCCACTACCATGACAAGGACACCCTTCTGTGCCCGGGCTCCCTCAGCATGTCTTCCATTGACACCCTCAGCCAGAGGGACAAGGTAAATATGTACGTGCTGTGTTGCACTTATTTCGCAGCGTAAGTAGCCAACCGTGCTAATCAGAGGTGCGATTAGTCCCCGTTCAGCGCTGGGTCAGCGTGACCCTTGCCCTGGCGACGGGGGTGAACGAAACATGAGCAGCGTGTAGTTGTTGAATCCTCTGTTGGGCAGTTGTGATTTTAGAGTTGGCAACCCCTGGAATTGTGTTGCTGGCTGGCTTGCGTGTGAGGGGTGGGGGGGGGGAGATAGAGGAGGTTGAGCCGCCTCTTCTGAAGGCACAGCTCTCTCTACGTTTTTAAAAAGGGCAAGTGAAAAAAATGTTGGTTTCAGAATTGTCACAAATGAGGGATGGGGCGTTGCACAGCCGATTCTCATATGAACGGGGGAGATGAGAGCCGGGGCAGAACGCGTGGTAGACAAGAGAATATCGTATTGTTACTCATTCTGTTGAGCATTTTAACGTGAGTTTAAAGTTTGTTTCACATTCACTTGTCATTGTCAACATGCCTTTGTGAATGCCTCGCCTGCTTTAACATTTTATCTACATAATAACACCTTTCCATACTTACAACGTGTAATCTTATTTGTATTTTTGTATTTTAAGATTGCTTAATACGGCTAATTAACATTTTACATTCGCATTTTATAAGGTCTACTTATTCATAATTTTAAAGATTTTAGCCCTTTGGTATTACTTATACTTTGTAACCTTAGTATAGTTAGAGTGTATACCTTTTATATAAGTTAAGATTTCTACTTGTTCAATGTATGCACCGTCCCACCATAGTGAATTCCTTGTTTGTGCAAACTTACATGGCGATTAAAACCGTTTCTGATTCTGATTTAAACAAGGTTGTGCCACGGGAGTTTGCTCGCATCTGTGCGCCAGAGTTCCTCTGCGTGTATGCGCGTGTGGCATTTTTTAGCGGACGATGTACGCACGCGTGCGCGCGTGCGCGTGGTCAGTCAGGCACGTTTGTGGTGAGCCTCCTCGTGCGTATGGCCCGTCTCGCACATGGCAATGGCTTAAAGCCACCGAGAAAATGGCCACTTGACAAGAGCCGTGTTGAATTTAATTTATTGCCACACTTCGCAGGCAATCGGTATCTGTGGCAAAAAAAATAATTGAATCGACGTATAGCAAATAAAATACAGTGAGGGCGCCAGGAATAAAAAAGATAACAATTTTTATCAGGTGATGTTTGGGGGGTGTTGGGGGATTTGTTCACCGCTGTTTAACCAGGGTGCAGCGTCATGTGACGGGTTAGGCTACACACCAGTGGTGGTGAATCGTGGGTGCCCCAAAAACAGAATGCATATTTAATGACCAAGACAAAGATGCCCCTGTATAGCCTGTAACAGACTGTTGGGGCAAGTGCTGTTAGCGAGTAGCGCCTACGAAGGCTGGCACGGCACACGAGGGGGTGGGTGGCCAGCACCACGCCCGGACGCCTTTGTCTCCCTGGTGGCGATGTTTACACACTGCGCCGGGTACTCGCTTGAGGCTGAGTCGACCTAGCGAAAGGCACACGATCGGTTCAGATAATCGTCACTGGTGTTGGCCGTGAGTGGGAATCGAACTTGAGTCGCTGGGTTCATAGCGCAGCGCTAACCGCGACGCCACCGCTCCCCACATATTTAATGACAGCCCCCCACCCCCGCCCGCTCCCTGCCCCCCTCTCGGCCATTCAATTTATAAACTCCGAATGAGAAGACAGAATAAATAAATAGTGGGGAGATACAGAGATGTAGCGAGATGACGAGGTAGGAGAGCTGAAGGTATTTATCAGCTTTTTTACATGAATTAGATGGGCTTTTGCTTATAGGTTATAAACATTCTCGCTGATATTTGCCCCGTGAGCAGCTTGGGGACTTAGGATGTCGCTTGGTTTGATTTATGCCGAGCGGCCACCACTGCTACTCACTGCGCTGTTCGACTGCCTTAGAGCCAGTCCCGTTATCCAGCGCTTGCCATCGCACCACAACTTCTCGGCCGTAGCGCCAACAGATTCAAGACGGATGGCCAACCATTTGTTAGTAATGTGATTTTAAAGAGAGCGAGGGAAAATACAGCCCTGCACGCCGGTGTTTGTGTGGAAGCTAATAGATTTTCTTCCTCGGGTTTAGGTTTGCTTCATCACCGCAATGCATCGTGCAGTGTGCGTGTGAATATTCGTTGCAGTGCTTTGGGAAGAAGTGCATCGGATCAAGACTGGAAAAACCGGGACTAGATTTCATGCAGGAGATGTAAATAAGCCCTTAAAATACATAGCACAACTGCAAGCACAGCCCTGAACTGGCTTCTTTAAATGATTTGCTCAATTGTGGTGGAGTAGGCCAAATAGGATCTACAGGGCTTCTCTAGAGCTGCCTCAGCTAGTAGGCCTCGACCCGGCAGTGGTGTGAGCAAGCAATTGCAGGGCTGCACCTTTGCCTCTCAATCTGACAAGCACGCAAGTTTAAATAGTACATCATTTAACGTGAGATTGCACATTTTTGCTCAATTGCAAATTATTTAGGAACAATCTGTATCACCACACATTGAGGGTAATATAGTCTACTGTTAATAGCCTTAATAACTTGTGTACAATTTATTGCAGTGGGATACGTGACAAAAACAACGCACAATATCGGAATAACTAAAAATGTACATGAATAACACAGCATCTGGATACAAGCGCAACGTATATGAATTAAAACAATTCTAATGTAACCGATACGTACTTAGATTACACCCGTGGGTGAAAGGGTTAGGGTAACTTCTGACTGAAACGCACCACTTCTGATATAAGCACAGTTGGCCTTTCTCCCAAAGGGTGTGCTTATATTCAACTTCAACTGCACCTTTGATTATTTTATCAGTGGCTCTATCGTCAGTCATAGATGCCTCACGCAATAAGTGTGTAACTTTTTGTTATAGGCACAAGTGTATGGAACTACGTATAGCATTTTGGATCGGCATGTATGCACAGGGAAATACATGCTGTGGTACGCTTCACCGAGGTTAATTTACGTGGCCCCACAACGCATATCTGCGCTCAGTGTAAGCGCAACATCCATGTATCTGCGCCGTTGCCCGTGTGTCTTGTCTATACGCGCGCATTGGTATCGTTGTCGTCGTCGTCGTCTTAAATGCGAGCACATCGTGCTGATGGTTTAGCTAATCCGATTGAATGAACCCTGCCCGATGGGTTTGGCTGATTTCCCGTCTATTAGTTTCGGAACAGCCGTCTGGGTGTGCCAGGCTCGGGGCTGTTCTTCCGGGACGGCAAGCGGCGCGTGGATTACCTGCTGGTGCATCGAATGTGCAGCCCACACCCCGAACGCCGCCACTTCTTTGAGAAGAATCTGCGCGGAGAAGGGCTGCAAGTGGAGAGAGAGGTGGGGAGGGGGGTGTTGGGGTGGGGGGGGCATGCAGGAGGTGTTCTAAGATGATGAGTTGTCACACTGTAAAAAGGCTCAGTCCCATTTACACGCACCTTTACATCAGCCTCACCTTAACAACTCATTTCAAACAGTCTACACAACAAAGGCTCATTCCTAACAGCGTGCTTCAGCCGCACCGAACCTCAATAATAATATCCAGGGCCTACCTTGGCTCCTCCCACCCTCAACCAGTATATATACAAGGACTGTTTTCTTGGAATTTCTCTTACTTGATACAGCTATCGTGCTGTGATGGTTCCACCTGAAGACGGAAGCTTGTGTTGCCTCCGAAACGTCGTGATTTTTTATTTTTATATTACTTTTATTAATTAAATTTTTTACCTACGTGACTTTACCGAAAAAACCTAAGAATATAAATCCTTGCAGTCACGAAAGCTTCAAATCTAGAATGTCACATTGCTGTTAACTACCTCGCCTGTTATACAGGTGGTTTCCTGGGTTCGACCCCGACCCTGATACCGGTTTATTTGGAGTTTGCATGTTCTCTATCCCCGTCGTAACGTGGATTTTTCTCCAGGTCCTCCGGTTGTTCCCTCCACACTTAGAATCAACGTGCAGCCAGAGTGTTTGGTTGCTTTACATGTCCACGTGATAAGCCACTTCATTGAGTTATCAATTGTGGCCAGGTCACCTATGAATAAAAAAACCTAGATAGCTCAGTGGGCCTTTCCTGGTCAAATAAAACATATTTTTTTGTTATTTTAATTTACTTTGCTAGCACACGCTGGTAGCGTGCGTGCAAAATACAAAGATGCCATTACTCGCCCACGTGATGCAACAACAACGAACGCATGCGGCATCCCTTGTCAATCCACTGCTGGATGACGGATGCCCTCGATGCCGTGTGGGCCACGGCGGGTGATTTAAAAAACACTTCGCCATGGTGGACAAGGAGGGATCCGTGAGGGCAGGGGTCATAGCTGCAGGAGCTGAGAAGTACGACACATTTGCATGTAATTCCCCAATACTAATCGATAGTAACGAGCAAGCAATTCAAATGATAGAGCTGTTCAGCACCATTGTCTTCAAGGTGGGTTGTTTTTTCAATCAGGACAGTAACTTTTTTGTTGCTCTGGGCTTTACATTAGTCTGAAGGCAGTCATCATTTTTCGCCAGTTCTGATGGTTTTTAATTTAAATTAGAACTACAAGGTGTAGAGACATGCTTGCTTATAATCACAAATAGCAAAAACTCAACACATTCATCAATAACACTGCCCTCGAGAGGAAACTTTATAATTGTAGGCAACGTGGTGTGCAGCGAATCTTATTGATAGCAAGAAACACATCGCGTATTACAATAGGGCAGTGTTATCTTTTAAGGGAAATGTTATTGACGGATGTGTTAAGCTTTGGTTACTGTGAACTACTGCAAACGCCAGGATCACAAATGAGTTCTCCTGCAATCGGCTCCATCTGAAATGCCTGCCTGGTTTCTATCCCTGTCTTCCGGCAGCCTTCAGTGACGAACAGCGAGACCGTGTTTGTGAAGATTCACGCTCCGTGGGAGGTCTTGTGCAAGCACGCCGAAGAGATGTGCATCCGCATGCCGTTCAGGTAAAGCAGAGAGAAGTGCACAGCGCCCCATTAAGAAAGCGCATGAACCACGTTTCGACTCATCCAGTGCATGCGGCCCAATTTAGTTGCTTGAACTAATTGAATTGCTTGGCTCACTTGCTGCCGTTATTATTTTTTATTCAGCACCGGCAATCCAAGCTCAAATCTCTGGGTTCGATCTTAATTAGATTACATTTTTTTCCCTTCTCTAGGCTCCGCGTTAATGTTCAGCTCAATCATTTTGTCATAAAGGCATTTTTACCAATGGAATTTTTTACTTAACATTACATTTTTGGGAGTTGCAGCATAAACAGAAAAAACATTACAGTAGTCAGTACAAATGAAGACAACAACAGCAACAACACATCGGGTAACATGACAAGGTCCAAAGATTAAAGCACATCACGGCCAAAAGCATTCCATGCATGCCGTCTTGGATCTTTGAGACCGATCCTCAGGCCTCATCCTTGGCCTTTCCTTGGTGTTGTGGCCTCAATCTGAGGACTTGGCTTAGAGACACCAACTTATGGAATTCGATTGGGCTGCCCTTGACACTGGCCTCGACCTAAAATGCTTCTGGCCTTGGCCTCGTCTTGATCTTGTGGCACCCGGCCTTGACCTCAGCCTTGGCCTTGCAGGTCCTGAGCTGAAATCCAAGACTGCATACACGCAACAGTCATCTTATCGGATTAGCGCATGTCTAAAATAAAATAAAAATAACAGTATCTAAGGTACAAATTTTATGAATAATTAGTTAACTGTTACACAATATTTCTCTTATTGAAAACAAGTTATCGTTGACCCAAGCTGGAATAACTCTTCAAATCAAATTCTCAGAGTTTTTCCCCCCCAGTTATTAGTCTTCAAGCACTAAAAACAGCAGATGTGCATTAAATGACAACACCTCCTCCAGACGGTGTTGTTATCACTACAAATGTCGACAATGGTTTTCCAGTCACACCTTATGCCGACGTTGGAGTCGTGTGCGTGAGTTTTGGCGACACAACAGTGCACAGGCAAACGGTATGAATTTGTATCCCAGCACTCAGGTATTTACCATGTTGTGCCAAACTTCAGAGCGGCAATTCTGAGTGACCACCCGCTGTCGTCCCATCTTCTGGGAATGTGTAACAGGCACCAACATAATTATTCGTGGCAACATTGGCACGGCAATCGATCATTAACAACTTATACCCATTATGGGGATCCCTTGTGTGGCAACATTTTTTATGCATGGCACATTTCGGGCAATACACTTGCGGTCGTGAATATCTTTATTTATAAGAGATCATTGTTGGGATTTTATTGGGTTGAGTTAGGTTTTTCCAAGATGAAACACGGCAAAGGGTGGGGTAGAGGAGGGGAGGAGAAGGGACATGAGTGGCAAACATGTGGAATGGCTAGGAGCTGCACGTGTGGGCTGGAGAGGGATACCACGCCAGAGTTAACAAGGTGTGCATCCTGGTGACACCGGGCTTGAAGGTCTCGGACATGAGGCGGCTTTAACCCTTTCCATTCCGAGACGTGTCTGAAAATTAGGTGATGGGTCCCGTTTACCGCTGAATGTCTGAAGGCGCGAGCGGTTGGCATTAATTTTATTTAGAGAGGCATAGCTCTTTTTAAAAAACAAAAGACATTATACTCGCCGCAGAAAACCACGACCGCTCTCTATGATAGGTGGTGCCAAAATGTGCCATGCCCTACTGCATAGTATAGTGGGAGGGAGTGTGGCACAGTTTGATGACGTACACGTACGTCATCGGAATGGGAAAGGGTTAATTGATATGTTCAAGAATGGGTCTCATTCTTTTAAAGTGCACCTTCTTACCTTTAAGCATGTGTCCCGGGTGGTCCAGAGAGGCCAGAGATGATATAGGGAGTGACCTAACTTTTATTACGTTTGATAACCTTGCTGCTTTTGCTCATTGACTCATGTGACAATCACCATGGCATTACATTTTAACTGAGCAGCAGAACTTGCTCGTGTATTCTACTTAATCCTCAGTATCGCAAAACCTCCCAGGTAGTTTTGATGCTTTAGGATACGCACTCATTATGACTGTGTTTAGATAATTTTGGAAGACATTTCCCCTTGCTTTCCTTGGTTTATGTAACAGGTCTTATGAAACAAAGGTGATTCAAACACGTCTGGGTTTATCAACATTTGACATCGAAATAAGAAACACCATAATGTAGGAAAACTGTGGGTGTGTTACAAATGCAATGCAATATTGCGTTCGTGCATTACAATTTATAAATATGGATTTTTGTGAGAGAAAAAAATTGCGTCACGGCTCCGGTCTAAGTTTAAATGTGTGTGTGGCTCTCTTGAGCTCTAGTCTGGTGAACAATTGCAGGTGATTTACCACGTCGGATGTGTAAAGCCCAGGAGCTACCGTGCGTAACAGTTCCAAAATAAATGGGAGCAGTCATGATTCATGACTGAAGTTGATTCATTTTTACAGCAGTGGGAAGCACACGACAGAAAATGTTTTATGGAAAAGCTCATTGTTATGCAGAGAAACAATATGGAATGATTCCCAGTTTCTTTCACCGATACTGTTTGCTAATACACGCAGCACTGTTGTTCTTGCACCGAGGAAATTGTTGCATTTTTGGAACTAAAAAATGTAGGGTCCCCATACTTAACTAAGACAAGGGTAGCTTTCATATCTGTTTGTGGTCCTGAAGCAATGGTGGGATTCCATATTTATATGGCAGAGCCCAGACTCTACAGGCCTAGCACTATTGACTTTCCATCAAGTGATTAATCACAACAGTTAAGTTTACCCTAGATGGGTTTTAAACTGTTGTGAACTACAATACAATTTAGATTTATCGAGCGTCTAAATGTGTCTGCATCTCACTGTGTTGTACAAATACAGAAAACGTGTCCACATAGAGAGTTTGATGAGCGATCTTTTAATTCGAGCAGAGAATAAGAAATGTAATCCTACAGACCAGAGAAAGAATGCAGATGACATTATGGAAGAAGTGCATATGAAGACACTTCACAGAGACAGTAATATTTCAGAAGAGAACAGATGTTCTGAGTCTGGACTTGGACAGTGAAAGGTTCTCCGCAGTGGAGGCAGCTGACAGGAAAGGAATTATAGACCACAAGAGGAACAGCAGCAGAGAAAGAACAACCTCTCATCGACCATAGGTTGACATCATGTCCTGCCAATTGAGTTATGTCCCAACCAATGGATGGGGATTTCATCAGAAGTCAAAGCTCAGCCCATCATCCTCCTGGAGTCGATAAAATAAGCACTACTTGATGGGAAAGTAAGCAGTAGTTGTCCTTCGGATGTTCATCATCGTGAATACAAGATGGCAAATGTCCTAATTTTCATATTAAAAGCTTGAATATAATACCTCTTTGATGATTGTGTTTTTCATTTTACAGGCGAAAATCGGATGGCCAAAAGAAAAAGGTCAAGTTTATACACAGGTGTGTGCTGAATGTGTGTTGGTTATTTACCTGCTTATGACTTGCTATGTTTTTAATGTATCTGCCGTAGCAGGGAAGTAAAGATTCACTCACTTCGCAATCCAATTGGACCGTGGTCCAATTGGACCGTGGTCCAATTCACAAATTGATTAGTTTTCACCCTTATCAATCTTATCGTTAATTTAGAATTTGTAGTGGCATTCATCGATATAATCTAGCTTGGTATAAACATAACATGAAGTGGAAATAATATAATTGTACACAGTTCATCTAGGGCATCGGAAAAGATGATGATCAATGAGTCGATACGTCCATACTGCACAGGATGGTGGTCCGTATGCATGCCACTCGGCTTGGATTGAAAGTTCAATTCCTGCCACTGCCCACGACAATTTTTCCTTCAGGTAATTTACCAAAGTGCAACATCTATGTATGTACGTAGGTCTTCGCCGTTGTGCTGTCGAGCTCCCCGCTGTGTTTTCGGATTGTACCATGCGTGTTCTTCGTATGGTGGTTCGAGCTTCTTCGTGAACCGATTCAGCTCTGATATTTCGCTCCATGTGCTGGGAGCGAAACGTCAGTCATTCCGCCGAACAACACAAGAGCACATCCGGACCCCACATCAGACAGCTGTTCATAAATATTGTAAGATTTTGAAATCGATGACCGTAATAATCTTGCATACTCGGCCATCGACTGGGGTTAGTTTGCGACGGTAAAACATCAACAAAATAATCACGTGTCTTTGCACGAATTGATCTCATCTTCTGCTTCCAAGGTGAGGGTGATACCAAGGAGATCGGAGTAGAGAGTGATTACATTCCCTTGAATTGCTTATCTGGCAGTTATACCCAGAGTGGTAACCTTGTGAGTGGGCCAGTGTTGACCACTGATAAATTAATACACTTACACGGCATGCAGCGATGGGTCCTGCCGTGGTGTGATGTAATGGTTGGCACACTGGACTTACAATCCAGAGGTCGTCTGTTCAATCTTCGGGTGCGGCGTATGAAGCAATGGGAACGTTTATTCAATCCCCCCATCTCTACCCCCCCCCCCTCCCAGCAGTACAAATGGGTATACAACAGTTAGTCGGCAGGTCGCATGGAAGAGGAGGCCAAATACCCTCTGAAGGGGCTCTCTAGGGATTCCCTAGTGGGGGACCTTCTGCCAGCAGTAGAATGAGTAAAAAGTTCGCAGGGATGCACCTTTACCTTTGCACGTATACAGACACATGTATTTTTTTGTTAAACATTGTGATTTTGCAACAGTTGAGACATAGGGGAAAACGGTTGTGCAAGTGTAAATTCTGCAAGCGAAAGCGTAAATAAGTCTGTTCCATTACTGGTAAAGGTGGCATGACAATGACATTTCAGCAATGAAGGTGAACTCTGTTCATTATACTGATGTCAGTGCATGAGAGTGGGGGCTTAATACCCTCAGAATGCATTCCATCGCTTCGCTCTTGAGTGGCACTTTGCATAATTGCAAGCCGCGCACACACACACAGCTCTCACTCTCAAACGTTATCAGGGACGACCTTCACAGCCAGCTGTGCCCATGCGGTTTATGGGCTGGCAGCTACCGAGTTAGCGCATGAGGAATGTGGAATTACGGAGTCGTCGTGCAAATGCACGATGCAGGCATCTGCATAGGTCGCGCTTTGAACAAGGCATTCAGATGTTGACACAGAGAGGCAAATGTACACGCACGAGCCACCTAACGTATGCGTAATAGAAATACAACGTGAAGCCCTCTTGTCAGTTCATCGTTGGATGAAGGCCTCTCCACGCCATGAACGGTCAGTGGGAAGTGTTTGACCATATCTTCTTGGTTATTTCCGTAAAGTCACATAGAAGGGAAGTAATAAAATAATAAAAAGAAAACATAATAAAATATTATATTATTTCATATTATTATATTATTTTATTATGTTTTATTATTATTATTTTATTACTTCCCTTCTACGTGACTTTACCGAAAGAACCAAGAAGATTAATCCATGCAGTCACGAAAGCTTAAAATCGAAATTTAATATTTTATTTTTATTATTTTATTATTTCCCTTCTACGTGGCTTTACCGAAAGAACCAAGAAGATGAATCCCTGCAGTCACGAAAGCTTTAAATCGAAATTTAATATTTTATTTTTATTATTTTATTATTTCCCTTCTACGTGGCTTTACCGAAAGAACCAAGAAGATGAATCCCTGCAGTCACGAAAGCTTTAAATCGAAGTGTTTGACCATACTTCGCCACGCCGGTCAACGCCCGTTTGGTGTTAGAGGTGCGTGGGAGAAGAGGACCAGGATTGGTTCAGCTACCACGCGCCACTGATGTTAGCCACAGGGAATCGAACCCAGGTCTCCGGGTACGTAGAGCGCTTGGGCTCGCTGACCACTGCGCTACCACTTCCTCTCACTCTATACATAATTGAATGATATATTGCGTTTGTCAATCCACTGCTGGATGAAGACCCTCCAATTTCGGTCGTGGGAGTTGTTTGACCATACTTCACCCTGCTGGTCAGTGCATTTTAGTGAAGGATTGCACCCAAGAGAATTTCAAATATCACTTCCCACCGATGTTATCCACAGGGAATTGAACTCAGGGCTTCAGGTTCGCGGCACTGTGTGCTGTTGACCGCCACCCCTCCTCTCCAACTGTAAATGCAATTGCCACTGGAGTAAAGTTTGGTCACCTTTAAATCTAGATTGAAAAGAATTTCTTTAGAAGTGATTTTTGTGTTTAGTTTCTACCCCTTTCCCCCACACCTCCGATTCGCACGGTTGGCTAAGTACGTTGTGAAAGAAGTTCAACATATTTCGATTTAAAGCTTTCGTGACTGCAGGGATTTATCTTCTTGGTTCTTTCGGTAAAGTCACGTAGAAGGGAAATAATAAAATAATAAAAATAACACATAATAAAATAATTCTCACGACGTTTCGGCCACAACGCAAGCAGCCGTCCTTAGATGACGCTGTCTCCCCGACAGACCTGGTCTTCACCTGAGGACGGCTGCTTGCGTTGTGGCCGAAACGTCGTGAGAATTATTTTATTGTGTTTTATTTTTATTATTTTATTATTTCCCTTCTACGTGACTTTACTGAAAGAACCAATAAGGAGTTCAACATACAAACATATACGTCACAAAGCAAAAAAAAATACAACACACAAGGAGAAAACAAAAAGTACCTTTCGTGCTTTTCACTCAACAAACTGATTGCCAAACTTTGGAAGCCATGCCCACTGGCCTTTGTTGATATATTGCACATTGCACTTAGGTTAAAAGTGAACCATGAAGACTTAATGCACCGAGGTGTCAGTGTTGTTATTTGTTTGTCACTCAAAGTTACACCCCATTTTCTGCCATGCAAATTTTTTTTTTAAAGTTCAGGCTGTTGTTAATACGGAAAGCACTGCATACCTGTTCTGCGAAGACTTTTAGAAAATGTACAGGACGCAGTAGATGGTGGAATTCTGTACCAACGTTAAATAAATACAATTATAATAATGCCGTTCCACAGCGTGTTTCTGCGCTGCAATTCCCCTTACTAAATTGCTCTCAGAGCGCATTTATCTGCCTAATTGTTGACTTAATCAGCGATATTACCAGTCTGCCACAATAGCAATCCCGATCAATTGAGAGAATAATCACACTTCATTTTCCCACCAGGAAAACTGGGAAGCCATGGTGCCTGTTTTCGCGGGTGATATTTTTCACCGGGAAGAGCCCCCAGTATGAATCCCCATTAAAATGTGCGCCCCCGCGAATCCCGATTTGGTAGACGCTGGAGTCCGAGCATGTGGGGACTTGTTTAATGCAGTCGAGAGGTGAAGCTCAGAGAGTGCTCAGGGAATACAAAGAGTGAATTACTTTGCTCGCCGTTGCCTAGTGTGGCGCAAGAGCATATTGGAGAAGTGCAGATTAATGCGACTCTATTCCGCCTGGTGACTTCACCTTTGTCAGCCGGGTAACCTATGACAGGTATTTATGTTATGCCGCCAATTCTCACAATATTGTTCACCTTTAAGCCCAGCTTGCACACAGATACATTCATTTCACAAACAGCAGTACGCACACTCCATTCGACACGTAATTTAGCCTTGGTGAATGCAGAGGAATGCTCTTTGTAGACTCGTCACTGCTTTTCATGTAAAATAACCTCTCACAACATGGTGTAATTTGCTCGGTGATGCAGTGTAAGGGAGGCTCATGAGCACTGAGCTTATGTTTTGTTCGTATGAAAACGCTGATTTCCTGAGAGGCATAACTAGACCTTCTAGCAGGGCTTGCTGGAGCACCCTCTATAGGAGACAATTTCTGCCAGCATTGTCGTGAGCAAGATAAGACAGGGCTGTACTTTTACCTTTATTTAGACCCTGTAACTCACAATCTACGTATGCATTTATGCGGATGCACGCGTGGCTTCAGATAATATCAAACACTGATGTAGTACCTATCGGAGCAAACTAAGAATAGTGGTGCTCTACAGCAGAGATCTGAAGCCACCAATTCTGGATTAATAAACTTTTAATAGAGGGCATTAAAAAAAACATATTCCACTGCTAAACCAGACCAGCAGCAATTGGTTCAAATTTCCAATTTATAAAGCGAGAGAAGAGAGGAGTGGAATGGAAATTAGAGCAGAGGAAAGGGTTCCCTGTGGCAGATGCACATAAACAAACGTGGGATTGCACCACAAAGCAAACAGGCTACAGTGAACACAGCCTACCTAGCCATAAACAATGCCCTCCTAAGACATTTGAGTGAATGACAACGTGCAGGGCCCTGCACTGCATTAACTGGCCATGTAGCTTATGTGTAGGGGTGTTCAGTGGAATACCAGACAGGCTGGAGCACATTGTGGCCATTATGCAAAAATGATGGCCATTATACCGGGGTACTTTGTACTGAGGAGAAGAACATTTGTATACATTTGTGCGCCATTAAGTTACTCGCCGGCCTGCCTCTGTGGACTTCCATGCGGCTGCCGTAGGCTGCCTGCACATGCGACGCCCATAGAAGCCGCTGCCGTTCATTGCTTCCAAAATAAATGTTTAAAAAACCCTGGCAATACTGCTGATGCTACTGCAGGCTGTGTACAACTGAAACAGCTGCATCGGATGCACTCATTCCACTCTCCCCGTGGTCCTTTCCTCCTGTGCCCCACCCGTCAACAGAGTGAACAGGAACCTGCAGAAGCTTCGCAGGTGGTTGCCCAGGAACCCTATGCAGCTGGATAAGGATTTGCTGCCAGACCTGGAGGAAAACGACAACTACACGGCCCCGTTCAGCCGGCAGCGAATCCACCAGTAAGTCGCTGCTACTGCTGCAACTGCTGCAACTGCTGCTGTTGCGTGCAAGCCTCGCTCTGTGTGCGATTTCAGATTTCTATGGGGTTTGGACTTGAGAGGTACAAAAGAAACGTGCGTTTGGAGTATTTGGCTGTGATACATTTCGATATGATAAGCCACTTCGTGGAGCTATCTTTTCTGGTAGCTTCTGAAAAATAGCCATACCTGGTAAAATAAAATAAAAAGTTTAGTTTAACAGAAACCAGTGCATATCATGGGAAAGAGAATAATATATGACACTCGTGGAAGAGGAGAGATCTGCATGTAAATGCATGCTCTTTGAGTGATAGGTGTATGAATATGAACTGGTAAAACCAGGACTCGTAATGTCCCAGGAAGACCTGCACATTTCACAGGACAAGCGCCTCAACAACCCTGGGGAAAACTGGACAAGTGGAAAACGTGAACATGAGGTTCATCACTTGCCCGTTTTCGATTGTGTTTTACATTGATTTAGTAGAGCAGTCGCTTTTGTCAGGTTTGCGTGAGTTGATCTAGCTCAGCGGTCGGGAACCTATGGCTCGCGAGCCATATATGGCTCTTTCAGTGACGGCATATGGCTCCCAGACAATTTTGAGTTGAAAGAAATAAAAAAAAAAATTAGTTTGGAACTGATTTTAAAATACTTGTGATATTGTTTAATAATACTGTGTCATTTTAAAGTAAACAGAAATTAGTTTTGAAGATAAATTTCACGGGTCACGCCTGCATGAAGCTCAACCTCACCACGTATGAACCAGACTACAAGGCCATCAGCAAAACCATGCAGCACCAGAAGTCGCATTAAAAGTAAGACATTTAATTTATTATACGTTAAAATACTATTTGGCTCTCAATGAAATATATTTAGAAATATTTGGCTTTTATGGCTCTCCCAGTCAAAAAGGTTCCCGACCCCTGATCTAGCTTAACAGCTTTCTCACTTGAGCTGTATACCAGGCAGCAAAGCACTTTTTTTGTCTCTCTATGTTTTTTTTTGTTGTTATTGGGCTTCGGGTAAAGTTTGGGTAGAAAGGTTTGTCCGTTAATGCTTTACATCCATGCTTAAAAATCACCACACCGAGGACATATTTCACAATTATCTTTTAAAATTAGTTGACCATAAATAATTGACTCTTTAATTGAATAAATTACAGCACCATTTTCAATCTTTGTCAAGGTCTCTCCCACACCACGTTGGTCATGTGGGCCGTTTGCCAAGCTTCGCCAAGCTGGTTAGTCAGTACAGGTTGGTTCAGGGAGAGCCCAGGACCGGTTCAGATATCACTCACTACTGATGTTAGCCATGGACTCAAACTCAGGTCACCGGATTCATAGCTTTGCGTGTTAAACACTGCGCAACCGCTACCCCCCGCATGATTAAGAATACCATATTTGTCAGATGTTCTCTTCAGTGCTGATGGATAAGAAATCACTTGCCAGCAAGGATATCTGTGGCTGGGAATCGAGCTTAAGTTATTGGATTCAGAGCATAGTGTGCTGACCACTCAGCCACATCTCCTTTTATTTTGATCCTCCATTACCGAGCAGCAGATGCATTAATTTCAATAATTGCAGAAATGTTAATTTAACACTAATTATAATAAACTGCAATTGTCAATTTAACGCCTCTATTTTTACGTTGCATTTAATATGCAGGCATTGCAGTTTGGTTATGGTGTAATCAAGATGAATCATATTTGGAAGTAATTTTAAGCTATAACAAATTAAGGCAATGGGAATAGAATTATCACCTGCCCACTTGTATTGCAGAGACCAGGGCATATATTGGTTTTGGTCTCTTGACTCAGAAACTAAAATAGACCGTGTGAATCTGTAATATCAACCCCTTGTTGCCTGATAAATAAAATCCCCCGTGTAAACATTTATCCATTACCAGTGGAAAATTATTCCTTTTCAAAATAACAGTCTGTACCTTACTGCCTCTATAATTATCTGCGCTGAAAGGTGGAAATAATGGATTAACGAGTCAAGGGGATCTTTCCAGTTATTCAAATTTGTAATGTTTTTTTTTAGGTAGTAATGTATTAATTTGTAATAAAAGAAAGGTGTTATGGTGGGCTGGGGTACTGCCATCGTGTAATTGTTAGCATTGTGTTGAGGTAGCTGGTGTCCGATCTTCCGGTGCGGCAGTTGGAAAAAAATGGAGGGCCCAGTTTCTTAACGCATCTCAACCCACTTCTGTTGAGCCAGCAGTAAAAATGGGTCCGAGACAGATATACCAATCAGCAAGTCACGTGTGATGGGTATTACATTCTTGGGTACTCCGCACCACTGCTAAGACGTCTGGGGCAGCGTGGAAGAGTCGGCTCAAAATTGCCACTCTGGAGGTGCTGTTTGGGGCCTCCCCCTAGTGGAGGCGCTGCCGTCAGCAGTTGGCACGACCTTGCAATTGCAGGGCTGCCCGTTTTCACGCGCAAACCCGTTGGCACCGTCTTGCCACACGACCTTTGGTTGTTGGGAAAGCGGGAATAACGACATCCACCACCCCTCCCACCTCCACCCACATCTCAAGTTAGCGCACCACTTTTCACATCAGATACACCGTTTGGTGGGACGCCTAGTGGCGAGGAATGACAGCGATCTCTCTTTGGGATATTCTTCAATGCCAGCGTGAGCACACAAGTTCAGGTCAATGCCCTCTCAAAACACACATTGCATCTTGGGAAGGGTTTTTTTTATTTGCGGACCCGGTGGTGTTGCTGGTGCCGTGTACTACTTTTTGGTTGCCAGGTTATAAGCGCAATGACACACTGAGAATGCGGTGTCGCTTATCCGACCGTCGCATTTCCTCCCTCGTGAATTTACTGCAAAACACTCGATCCCAGCGCAGTATCTGTGCACAGTGTAGCAATAATTTTACTCTACTCTTTGATTCTTTCGGTAAAGTCACGTAGGTAATGTGTTCTTAATCTCGCATGTATCCCTTCCAAAGCAGTGTCGAGCATTTACTGTTTAAAGTTTATAGCAGTTTGCACTTTATTTTTTCGTCCGGGAACCTATTTCTACGAACTGTAACAGCCACTTTTGATAGTCACTCATATTTGACCTCTTCATCTGTATGCCTATGCCAAAGTCTCCAGCGAGTCGGATACGTGACATTGCATTGGAGGTGAACAAATAATTCGCGTTACGCTGATTACGTCCGCTTTCACCTTTACAGCAGCAGTTTTCAAATGTTAATTCTGATGAGTGGTGGAGTGGTGGGCGGGAGGGAGGGAGGGGTGCAGAGTATGATTTGGCAGAGGAAAAAGAACGTGGCTCGCAAACATAAAATGCGGATGTCAAAAATAGCCGAGCTTACCTGTCACTTTGGACCTTCCTCTTTACCTTCCCTTCCCCATAAGAAATTATGACAAACAAAAATCCACGTCTCCACCGCTCCCCATTTTCCCGCTTTCCCCCAACCCATGAGCTCTGTGTTTAGGGGCTTCTTTTTTGGTTGGCAGCATTTCTGTGGCCACCACCACTCCATTGGCATTGCTCGCGTTCTGTCCCGGCCCTCTTGTGGAATAATACAAAGTAAACAAGTATAACCCGTAAAAACAAAGTTTTTCACTATAAATCCTTTATATGCGTGGCGGCTAGAGTCCTCTCGTCCTCTGGCTTCAGATGGCTGCCACCTATGGGTCAGATTATTGCATTGCACCATTAAGCAATTGGTAATTAAATGTAATATTTTTGTCCTAAAAAGTGTAAAATTTTTGAAAAAAAATTCACGAACATTAATTATCACGCACAACGAGTCTGTGTGGAAAATGTCAGCTCGATTGGATCACGGGAAGTGTGTTAAAAAACGACCGAAAGATTTGCACGGTCCTAAGCAAGCAAGCGAACTTAATACAAAGGATTAAAAAAAAAAACAATAGCTGAGCCCACAATCAGAAAGGCATCATATAAGAAATGCATCATATAATTCGTACTTTTTTTTGGGCCATTCTTGCGGCGCTAGGCTATATCAGGAAGGTGACATGTTTCACACACCGGTATTGTCTGCCAGTACAGGGGGGGGGGGGGGGGTGTAGTTGCTACGTGGTTTTACCCAATTAAGTAATTTGCAAGTAATCTTTCAAATTTGACAAATTTGGATCGTGCCACTGGCGCGCGTGGCCTGCTCTTTTTGAGCAGCGCCACGGGATCTTTTAACGTCAACGGTGAAGCAGACCGCACGTGGTTTCGATTAACACACCCCGCAGTATTAACTATGGCTGCCTCGGAGATCGAACTGCAATCCCCCTGGGGCAATGACACGGGCCTCTGGGACGGTGACAAGGCTGCGTTGACGCTCGGCCATGTCGCCACTCCACTAACTATCCCTCCTAAATTTAAATATCAACATTTTGATAGAAATTTCTATTTAAAGCTTTCGTGACTGCAGGGATTCATCTTCTTGGTTCTTTCGGTAAAGTCACGTAGAAGGGAAGTAATAAAATAATAAAAATAAAACATAATAAAATAAAATAATTCTCACGACGTTTCGGCTACAACGCAAGCAGCCGTCTTCAGGTGAAGAATGAGACACTACCAAGCTAGGAGCTTATATATAAGCTGCGTTGGAGGTGGAAGAAAGAGCGCCTTAACAAAAAGAATGTGTATATGAAGAGGAATTTAGCATATTCATGGATTATTAGCATTGCCTGGTTTATTGGTTTTCCATGAATATGCTAAATTCCTCTTCATATGCACATTCTTTTTGTTAAGGCGCTCTTCCACCTCCAACGCAGCTTATATATAAGCTCCTAGCTTGGTAGTGTCTCATTCTTCACCTGAAGACGGCTGCTTGCGTTGTAGCCGAAACGTCGTGAGAATTATTTTATTTTATTATGTTTTATTTTTATTATTTTATTACTTCCCTTCTATGTGACTTTACCGAAAGAACCAAGAAGATTTTGATAGAAAGTCGGCACTCAAACAAGGACCCTTCTATGGCCGTCTCCTTCTCCTAATGTTAGTAATTCTAGAGAAAAAAAACATTTCCCTCCCTGGGTCACCCCAACAATGGAGCCGCGCTAATCTTTCCCCGTCGTTTATCAACTTGAGTAATTTCGGCAGCTTGAACGTTACTGCCAGACGAGGGCAGCCTAAGTCCTTCGCGGACGAGTGTTGGTGGTGCAAGGCATGCGCCTGTGAAAGATTGCGATTACAAAGAGAGGGAAAAGGGCAACAGCGGCACTGCCATATCTACTCTGCTCTACTGTACTTTCGTTTTACTCGGCAATGCCCGCTGAACTACATAGTTCTTTTTCACAACCGATCTGGCTACAAATGGTAGCCCAACGAAGTGGCTTATCGCGTGGAAATATATGCAGCAGCCAAATAGTCGAAACGCACGTTTCTAAATGTGGAGGGGAAAAACCGCCATCGTGAGATGTTAGCTACCTGGCCTATATACAGGGCTGCCTGGTTTATTAGTTCACCACCTGTTCTGGTTTTGCCAGGATTGCCCTCATTTTGAGGCAGCTGTCATGGGAAATCTGTAAACCTTGCCAGGACATTAAAAGTCACGCTATATGTCAGTTGTGCAGTGTCACACCAGCCAACAACATGCATTTACATGTAGCTCTTACCTCTTATTGCGGTCATGTGATATATTTTTTTATTCCATACGTCCTCCGTTTTGTACCGCCGAGGGGCAACTCTTGTGTCATCTATTGTTTCTCTCTCTCACAGCTTCATCATCCACGACAAGAGCACGTTTTTCAGCAACGCGCAGCGAAGCCGCATCGTTCACCACGTGCTGCAGAGAACCAAGTATGAAGAGGGCAAATGTAAAATAGGTAAGAGGGCCTTGGCACGCTCACAAGCCGCGGGCAAAGCGGTGCATCTGTCACGAACAAATGTTTATTACATTTTGGAAATTCATCGTCCAATGTAACTTTTGATTTAAAAAAACATGCACATTGACGATGGATACGGCTTTTGGCGAGCCATCGAGCAAAGACGGTCACAGCATCGCGCGCTTTCAGATGCGCTTCTTCGGCCGTCTGGAATGCTCTTTCTCCCGATATTAGGAAGCCACTGGAGCTATGCACTTTGAAATCATCTAGATTAACAAACTAATTTCTGTAGAAGTGCTTTTTGTGTTTAGTTTGTTGTCCTTCCCCCGCACCTCCGATTAGCACGGTTGGCTACGTACGGTGTGAAAGGAGTCCAACATACATATGACTCATGGTTAGGTGCACTTTGAATTATACTGAGAGACAGAAAGAGAAACAGGCAGTTGTGATAATATACGCGTGTACATTTATTAAAACAGACAACAATCCCCCGTATAGCCTCAACAGACTGGTGGGGCAAGTGCTGTTAGCGAACACTTATGAAGGCCGGCACGGCACACGAGTGGGGTGGGTGAGTGGCCAACACCACGCCCGGCCGCCTTTGTCTCCCTAGCAGCGATGTTTACACACCGCACCAGGTACTAATTTGAGGCTGAGTCGACCTAGGGGAGGCCCAGGGACCGTTTCAGATAACCGTCACTGGTGTTGGCCGTGAGCGGGAATCGAACACGGCCCACCGGCTACACTACCGCTCCCCACATGCTCCGTGATAGAGACATCGTGTTCACTTTTCTTCACTGTGAAGAAAAGTGAATTTCGATGCGTCACAAGAAAGCATGACGGCCAGTGGCTGAGGCCAACAGCATTCAGACGCTGTCTTTCCGACAGACCTGTTCTTCACCTGAGGACGGCTGCTTGCGTTGTGGCCGAAACGTCGTGAGAATGATTTTATTATGTTTTATTTTTATTATTTTATTATTTCCCTTCTACGTGACTTTACCGAAAGAACCAAGAAAATGAATCCCTGCAGTCACGAAAGCTTTAAATCGAAATTGAAAATATTGTTACAGAATGCAGTACCATTCTTACTATTTACGCAAAGCGGCACTGCTCGTGCATGCAATACAAGGATGGAAATTGAAAACAAATAATTTTATTTCATTTCGAAGTCTGTGCTTGAAAAATACGCCGTAATCTTTTTCCATACCGGAGTTATTGGTGCTTATCCAGGGCAATAGAAACTATTCGGTCAGGCATTTAAAATCAACAACACGTGCATAAAGTGGATTGATGTGGAATCACACTTTGGGTGGAGCAGCATAACCAGGTGTGCCATTACGGGCCATTTAATGAGTGCCTGTACGTCGTTAAACTCTGTCAGCCGTGTCATCCACGACCAATGTGTTGTGATCGCTCTCACATCTCAACTATTGCACCTATACGCGGTTGTGCCGTGTAGCTATCTCTCTCTGCAATGGATTTTGTTGTCGGGCACGGTGTCCGACGTTCCGCTCCGCTTGCTGCGAACTCGTGCCAAACAACAACAATGTGGGAGAATTTTCTTGATTCTTTCGGTAAAGTCACGTAGAAGGCAAATAATAAAACAATAAAAATAAAACATAATAAAATAATTCTCACGACGTTTCGGCCACAACGCAAGCAGCCGTCCTCAGGTGAAGAACAGGTCTGTCGGAAAGAAAGCATTCAGACGCTGTCTTTCCGACAGACCTGTTCTTCACCTGAGGACGGCTGCTTGCGTTGTGGCCGAAACGTCGTGAGAATTATTTTATTATGTTTTATTTTTATCATTTTATTATTTCCCTTCTACGTGACTTTACCGAAAGAACCAAGAAGATGAATATTTTCAATGTTAATTTTGAAATGTGGAAAGAGTGGGCCAAGGTCGATCTTAAAATAATTAGCCATGGTCAATTTGCTTTCTCTCTCTGCAATGGATTTTTAAGTTGTTGCCCCCGTGTCGTTGGGCACGGTGTCCGACGTTCCGCTCCGCTTGCTGCGAACTCGTGCCAAACAACAACAATGTGGGGGAACCTAAAATCAATAACGAAGAGCCATTGTCGACCTCTCTGTGCACAGTCTGCAGTGGCCCCTGGTGGTTCGTTTTGCATGCTGGAGTCTCGGTTGTTTGCTGCTGCTGCTGCTGCTGCTTATGTAAACTCTTGTTTGTCGTCGAGTGCCAGATGCAGCCAAATTTGCAACTGTGATTTGAAACCACGAACTTTACCCATGTATCGATCGTTCACTTTTAAGGTGCAATGTAATCGAGGGTACTGGCATTGTCTTGGTGTGTTCTTGGATTGTTGTTGTTGTTATTTTGCTGCCTTGTCCAAGCTTGCATTTGGAATGTATATACTCATGCAATTTGTCCATTCATGCTTTATTTATCATTTATTAGTAACCTGCTCAAACTGTCTCTTTCTTATTCTATTATCCTTTATTGTATGTTTTTTGTGATGTAACTTACTGACCCGCCCCGACTGGACATCTGTGAAAAAGACTCTCGTAGCTTCGTCAGGCTCCTCCGGTTTACATAGAGAATCTGATTCTGACCTACAGGGCTGAACCGAATGCTTAACAATGGAACCTACGAGGCTGCCTTCCCCCTCCATGAGGTAAACACATTCGACTTGACAATATTCTGTCACCACCAATGATGCGTGTACATATTTAGCTTTTCACATGCAACTGTTGTTTCCCCCCCTCCACGTGTGTGAATGCACACTTCTTTTTTGTGCTTAACTTTACACCATAGCTGTCTCGGGTGTGGATCAATCAACTTCAAGGACAGTGCATATCATTACCATTATCAGAGTTGTTTCTTTTTGTTTGCATTTTGACTGCTTGTGTTGCGTTATTGCAAGCATGATGCCTTGTATAAAGGTGTCAGTTTTGTACCAGTTTAAAAGGGTAAAAACCTACTACTATATTTTGCCACTGGTAAAAGAGGTCTCATAGTGTAAATGCTTACCCCGAGCTCTCAATACTCTGATATTGCACTGTGTTTGAGTTGTACGCCTTCTGGTGTCATCTGGTCCAACACCAATGGGGACTAGGCTCTAAAGAAAGCTGTCTCGGGTGTGGACCAATCAACTTCAAGGACAGTGCATATCATTACCATTATCAGAGTTGTTTCTTTTTGTTTGCATTTTGATTGCTTGTGTTGCGGTTATTGCAAACATGATGCCTTGTATAAAGGTGTCAGTTTTGTACCAGTTTAAAGGGTAAAAACCTACTACTATACTTTACACCATATCCTCGCATGGGTAACAACGGGTTCAACCCTGCAATTGTTTCCTAACGCCACTGCTGGCAGGAAGCGCCTCCACTAGAGGGGGCTCTGGAGAGACTCTTTAGAGGGTACGTTGGCCTACTCTTCCATATTGTGTACAAGTTGATCATTAAAAAAGGGGTCAAGTTTCGAGTACATTTTTATTTTGTTTAACCACGTGAGAACTTATGTGAGGCCAGGATAGTAGCATTCGCAAGAGTGACCTGGGGAATTAGTTTGCCAGAAGGAGGCGATGATTGCTGCTGTGCGTAATCCCAAATTGAGAAATTTGCGGTGTAATTTTCTAATTTGCAATTTATTGACCCTGAGGCAGACACACAATGGCCTACTCTCGCAAATGACATCAAATTTTCTGAATATAGAACACACAAATCAGTCTGGTTAAGCCCAGCATGGATCGTGGGCAGGCGAGCATGGATTTTTCAAAACGACAGAGATGTTCCTTCAAAGGAGTACACATATCACAAGCATAACTGTGGCCGAGACGACCTGGAGCTTCATATCGAGCGATAGGGCAGGTAGTTTCCATTCAGAATTACGCAGCTGATGAAAAGGTAATGCCACTTGACTGATTTGGAGTGAGACCTCTGCTTCGAAACTGGAGCCGGTCATAAGCATACTTCCCAGATATGAAAAATTCTCCACTCTCGCCACAACTTCCCCACCCACTCATGGGGAGTGGAGGGGGTGGAGTGTTTGAGTACATAAAATACTCCGGCAGGCGCTTTGTTTTTGTGTAACTGATGGCAAGTGCCCGTCCCTTAATAGCCCGCTCCAGGTTCTGCAGCAGGGTGTCAAACTCCTGAGAGTGAGCAAACGATCACTAGATCATCAGCATACATAACATGGTTGATCAATAGGGAGCCATCCCTTAACACACCTAGGCATCGATCAGCCTCCCATTGCATCTGTGCCATATGGAAATTCCTATGGCATAGCCATGGAAGACGTCACGAACTACGTCGTCTAAGAAGATGTACGGGCCAGATGACATCTCTGTCGCACCCCAAGGAGAACAGGAAATGGCTCCGACTCCCTGGCATGCTGCTTTACTCAGGCCTGCCCACCATCATTAAGGCCCTTAATGATTGTGAGCAGAAGGTCAAGCACCCCCGAAAGCACCAACAATCTATCATTGTAAACCTATGGCGTATGCGCAAGTGTAAATTCAATTCACGGAGATGTATATTCTTTGGTTCTTTTGGTAAAGTCACGTAGATAGAAAATAAAATAAAAATAAGAAAAAATAATAAGAAAAAATAAAAACTCACGACGTTTCTATCGCAACACAAGCGGTCGTCATCAGGCGGAGAGAAAAGGGGGATTAAGCCTCTAAATGCAACTGTATGTAAAGGTTTAAAATGGGCGTAGCCCAAGTGTCAGAATGAGTGGAGCTAATGCTGAGCGGCGAGTGGCGTAGTCCAAGTGTGTCAGCAGCATGGGCGGGGCAGCTAATGTTAATGTAGTAGAAGAGAAAGGGGGAGAGAGAGGGGGTAGAGATAGGGAGAGAGAGAGAGAGAGGGGGGAGAGATAGGGGGAGAGAGAGGGGAGGTAGAGATGGGGGGAGAGAGAGGCGAGGTAGAGATAGGGGGAGAGAGAGGGGAGGTAGAGATAGGGGGAGAGAGAGGGGGGTAGAGATAGGGGAGAGAGGGGGGGTAGAGATAGGGGGAGAGAGAGGCGAAGTAGAGATAGGGGGAGAGAGAGGGGAGGTAGAGATAGGGGAAGAGAGAGGGGAGGTAGAGATAGGGGGAGAGAGAGGGGAGGTAGAGATAGGGGGAGAGAGAGGGGAGGTAGAGATAGGGGGAGAGAGAGAGGGGTAGAGATAGGGGAGAGAGGGGGGAGAGATGGGGGGCATTGCACCTCGCTCCACACATCCACACTGCTGGCGGTGGAGGTTGACAAGAAATTACAAATCAAGTCGTGACCCAAAGTGGTTGATGACATCTTTCCAATGATTGCTGAGTTTATAACCGTCTTCTCGGTTTAAATCATCTCTGTGTCTGTATATATGTGTAGTTAGTCCAACTGAGCCGCAGACGTTGTTCCTCTTTAGAGGCAACACATTTATTTGTAACACGTAACACAAAGATACAGCCTAGGGTGGTGACCACCCAGCTAACTACTCTATACAGAGGAGTTACTGCTACGAAGGGTCAGGCCTCACTCGGGTCCACGACCACGTGTTTGCCTCGTAAGACGTAGAGCTTCCAGATTGAGATGTAGGCTTCAGCCGGTGGACGTGGAGCTTCAGCTGGTAGAATGCAGCGACCCCGGTCCCTCTCAGGGACCCGCCTTATACCCCCCCACGGGTCGAGCCTTCCAGCTCCCGATCCCTTCCGAGAGCTCTCCCCGGACACGTGATCACCCCCTAGTCCCCCCACCTGGGGGCCTCTCTGTGGACACTCGAGATCACGTGTCTGCAGGGTCAACCAGAGTGCCATGGCCCTGGGCAACCTTGCCCCTGGGGCTGACACTCTCCCGCTCCCCCTCGTGGGAGACCGCACTGCACGCTATGCTTGGTGCCCTCGCTATCCCAGCGCTCACCAAGCCCCGCTAGGGCTGGTACCATACCCGCCATGCGGTGTATGCGATGACGGTGCATCGCACGACACGGCCCTTTCGGGCCGGCACCGTACAGTGACATCCCGATGTCACTACATCTGGATGGCTTCATGAACGAATCTTTGTTGATAGCCAGTCGGCTTGCAAAGTACCATCGTCTTAGAGAAATCAATTTTCGCGTGATCTATCTATGTGACTTTACCGAAAGTACCAAAGAATATGAATTGCTGCAGTCACGAAAGTTTTCAGTCAAACAAATTTACGGAGATGTGACTTCGCTGATCCTTGTAACACATTTAGGTTCCATGTTTTAAGCCCACTGACAAACGTATTTTGCTAAATGAACAGCTGCGTGATAGAAAACAGTTTTTTCCCCCAAATAACATCTTCATCCACCGGCATTTTGTCATCTCACGTGTACCGCGCGCGACGTGAATAATCTCCGTCTCTCACTCAGGGGAGTTACAAGAGCAACAATCCCATCGTGACGCACGGTGCAGACAACCACAGACACCTCCTGTACGAGCGGTGGGCATGCTGGAGCATGTGGTACAAGTACCAGCCACTGGACCTCATCAGGTCTGCACTGACGCACTGACGCACGTGGCTTTGGGCTTGGAGAACACGCGGAACCACTTGACCCCTTTCCCATTCCGATCACGTACGTGCACGGAATAGATTCGGAATTTTAAAAGGCCATGCGGCAAGACGTGTGGCACAGTTTGGCACCAGCTATCGTAGAGTTGCGGTCATGTCGCTACAGTTATCCGCGGTGAGTACAATGTCTTTGAAAGCAGCGGAGCTATGCCTCTGAATTGAATCAATGGTAACCTCTTGCACGTTCCGAGATTCAGTGGTGAACGGCACCCCACTGCAACTTGCACATGTCTCGGAACGGGAAAGGGCGAAAGTTGAGTTGATTTGATTTGTTACATTTATGATGATAGTCCCGTTTATCCAGTTGCCTGGCGATTTTACCAGGGAGATCCGTGGTGTGTGAGCACAGCAGCAACAAAAACAAAAGACGAAAGCATTAATATTGCAGAGAACGAGTATTCTTAAGGGTTCTTAAGGAATATTGCACAAATTAAGTCCCTAAAATTGCTTTTAAGGGACCAGGTTTCAGTTGACGGCACGGTGACCAGGCAGGGGAAACTTGTGTTTTAATTAATGTTGACCTTAAGAAGAAGAGAGGAGATTGGAGGAGATTGGAGGTGTGAAGCACCCAGTTCGTCATGTCCCAGCCAGAACAAGCGTGGCACCTTCAGCCGACTCCCGAAGGTAGAGGGGGATTCAAGTATTTCAAAGTCAAATGGGTTTACATTGGATAGGGATATGTATTCGTGCAAGTGTGGCATTCTGTCAGTCCACTGCTGGATGGGGGGGGGTCTCCCCTGACACCGTTCGCATCGTGGAGCGTCATGGGGATGTATTTGACCATACTTCACCAACGCTGGTCAATGCGGGTTGGTGAATGCGAGGGAGCACAGATGTCCATGTACGACGATGCATTTTGGTGCCCACAGTGTAGCTCCACAACCAATAACAACCCTGCTGTGCATAACGATCACCCAACCATCCAAGAACTAACTTTGGCTGCACTTTGGGCCTTGCCTGGTAAAATATACAAAAACACATTCGTTTTAGTTTGCCTATTCAGGTTCCACCGTACTTTGCTCATCAGATCTTACAACATTGGGTGCATTTCCGGTGATATGGTCAGAGGGATAGGGGATCTATTCCAAGTAAAATCGGTTTCCCACTCAAGAGGACTTGGATTTATGCTCATATCCTGTATACATTCCTGAGCCAATGTGGAAATTCCACATTACTATGGCAGGGGTACGTCTATTAATCCGACAGCCACTGTTGACTTCTCACAAAGAGCTACTTATTTTTGTATTAATCAGGAGCTGAGTTGATCCCAATCACTGATTTAAACTCGAAAGCCTCTGTTTTATGAAATGTCAACATTTTCCGTTTGGCTTTCAGAAGCCGGTGTCCCGCTGTGTTGACCACATCACACAACGGGCACCACTCAATTCCACAGGCTCGTAGCAAACATGTAATTAAATTCAATCGCCACAGACATCATTGGCTCAAACAAATATCCTTGAGATGATAATATGGCCATTACACGCAGGTTTGAAATTACATTAAACCTTCCACACAGACCAGATTTAAAACCGTGGTGTTGAAGCAATTGCCCTTGTATTTCCTCTCGGCGTGTAACGACGCATCTATCCGTCGATTGAAATCGATTTCTTATGCTCCTGAGGCATGCATCGAATTGTACAATGTGAGAAGTGATTATTACTCTACTAAAGGTAGCAACAGAACTATGCAAATGAGACGGAACAAAGCGAGAAAACAACGCACGTGAGATGGTAAGAACGGGACGATAAATAATCGATTCTCGAATTTAACTGTGACTCCAAATCATGACGATGTGTTCAAGTCATGTTTAACACGTAGGCTTTCTCAACCAGTAGTATTCATAATAAAGGTTTTTGGGTTAGTTCGCGCTATTATAAATGTGTCGCAACCCTCCACTACCCGACATGGCCAATCAGTAAAAAAATGTGTCACGTTGACAAAACGCCAATTAGCTATTTCTTCAGCCCACCGTTGTGTTTGAAGAGTGAATCCACAACATTTAGAATTTGAGTACGACGTTTCCCTGCTAATTTGCATCGGGCAAAAACAATGTCAGATGTTGAAAGTCTAAGGAGAGAGATTAAAACAGGTTAAAAAAGCACTACGACTGAATGACTGCAATAATGCTCAAATTAATAGAGAATTGAATGTCAAACCAAGACCGAACAACAATACTACTGAAAGTGATCAGATTATAAAAAAAATACCATATATCTTGGGAGTTACTGATAAATTAGCCCGTGTTTTGCAAAAGCAAAACATTAAAGTGAGATTTGGTACGGTACGCAAAATTCTAAAGCTAGTGTCTTGTACTAGAGATCAATTGCCGAAGTGATCAACAGAAGGTGTATATCGGATCAATTGCTTATGCGGTAAATGCTATATTGGACAGACGGGACGTAACATTAGCGTAAGACTAAAAGAACACCAAAGGAACATTACATTATCTCAAACACAGCTGTCAGCAGTGGCAGAACATGCTTGCCAACAAGGACGTTTAATTTATTTTGATAACGTTGAAGTCTTATGCAAAACGAATTATTACTGGCCAAGACTAATTAGAGAATCAATCGAAATTTAGAAGAATACAAATAATTTAAGCCACTGTGATAGCTCAGTGCAGCCTGGAAGCATATTATTAAGTAACGAGCTTTTGTGCCCGTCCAAGGACGGGTGTATGTTACAATGAATTTGAAATATTCAATAGAAAAATTGTTCAGCTCATGATTATTAATGAGGGAGGGGGTTGCCCCATGTGGAGTGACGTCACCCCCTAATGGTTATTGGGGAGGGGTGCGGCATGTGGAGTGACGTCACCCGCTAATGGTTATTGGGGAGGGGTGCGGCATGTGGAGTGACGTCACCCGCTCATGATTATTAATGAAGGGGAGGGGTGCGGCATGTGGAGTGTACGACCTTCTTGTGCGTTAGTATACATTTCCACGCGGGCATGAATATTAATGACGGAGGGGGGGGCCTCATGTGGAGTGACGTCACGCGGGGGGGGGGGGTGGGCCTCATGTGGAGCGACGTCACGCGGGGGGGGGGGGTGGGCCTCATGTGGAGTGACGTCACGCGCGGGACGGACAGACATTTCTGGGTGATTATAGTAGGAAATACACAATACATATTTCAATTCCTTATGGAGGAGTCACATGCTAAGTGGCTGATTACTGATCTATTACATAATTGTAATACCCCCCCACCTCCGCTTCTGATCTCGAAACCTGATGGGGTTCTAAAATGATGACGTCATCCTGCACTATTTAAGACCAGAAGCAGGTGGATGGCTTCACGATTCTGTAAAATTACCCGAAGATGCTGGATGTAATTACCAGCGAAACGTCGTACTCAAATTCTAAATGTTGTGGATTCACTCTTCAAACACACCGGTTGGCTGAAGAAGTAACTAATTTGCGTTTTGTTAACGTGACACATTTTTTACTGATTGGCCGTGTCGGGTGGTGGAGGGTTGCAACACATTTACAATAACGCGATCTAACCCAAAAACCTTTATTATGTTCAAATACTAGCTGAATCGGGGATATAGCATTGCGCACCTATTTATACCACTGCCTCAACCCATAAGGCCATTTCTCAAATGAATACTGCCCTGGGGCTTGGTTTTGTCGGAGCTTAGACACCGATACATTGTTAGGCTAGGAAGTGGGACCACTGAGCCTGATTGGGTTTCTGCAAGACGTGGTGTTGGTTTCTCAATACAGGCCATCTCAAGTCGTGACCGAGCCTTGGCTGGCGATCCAAGAATTAATCAGTTTTGTTTACATTGTCCATAATACAGGGACTCCTCTACTTACGCACAATCGATTTACGAACTTTAAGAGATACGAACATTCTTGTCCATATGTCCAGAGAGCCCGAAGTTCAGTCGCTGCGCAATAGATGGCGGTGGTGGCATCTACATCTGTAGAATATGAAGAGCCAGTGGTATCTACATCTACAGGAAATTCTACAACTTTCAAAGCAATTCCCCGTGTTTAGTGTACATGCCGTCCAACATGTTTGGAATCGACAGAGTAAAGTTGGACTTACGGACAAATCGACTTACGAACAGACCTCTGGAACCTAACTCGTTCATAAGTAGAGGAGTCCCTGTAGAGTTTCTTTTTGGGTTAGATCACATAAATATGAATGTGTCGTTAAACCCGCCACCACCCGACACAGCCAATTAGTAAGGCTTGTCACGTAAACAAAATGTGCCAATTTGTTACTAGTTCAGTACGTGCTGTATTGGAGAGTAAACCCACAACATTTCCAAAACCCACAACTTTTGTTCACATTGCAGGCGTGGAACGAGCCCGTTACGTACAACAGTTCACCCACGTCTCTGGCGATGCCATGAATTCTAGTGATTTAATAATATCACAGTTTCATTCAAGAACGTATTACAGTATAAACCCTCTTAACGAGCACCCCTGTTAACGACAAATCGCTTAACGACGGGCCTCCATAGAGTCCAATGTGTCGTGTATAGTGCAGTCTATAGTAGTGTATAGTGTAGTGTATAGTGGTCTAGTGTATAGTAGTTTAGTGCCTCCATCGAGCCCAATGTATAGTGTATAGTAGTGTAAAGTGGAGTGGATATTGTAGTGCATAGTAATGTAGTGTATTGTATAGTATAGTCTATAGTAGTGTATTGTATAGTATAGTCTATAGTAGTGTAGTGTATAGTGTAGTGTATAGATGTGTAGTGTATAGTGTAGTCTATAGTAGTGTATAGTGTAGTGTATAGTAGTGTAGTCTATAGTAGTGTATAGTGTAGTGTATAATAGTGTAGTGTATAGTAGTGTATAGTGTAGTGTATAGTAGTGTATAGTGTCGTGTAGTGTATAGTGTAGTGTATAGTAGTGTAGTGCCTCCATAGAGCCCAATGTGTTCGCTTACCGACCATTCCCCTGTTAACGACGGGCTGTTGTAGGTCCAGTAAATATTAAACAATGAATTGATTAACCATGTTTCTTTTAGCATTGCGTGTTCATAAAATTGTCAGTATCTTTATGTATTTATATCCATTGTTTAAATATTATAGAGTACGTTTTTGGGTGAAAAAGGGGTAACTTTCGATGCTATCCGAACGAATTAAGCCTCTAACGTGCATTTCCTATACTCGCTTAACGATCAACTCACTTAACGACCCATCGAGTGGAGCAAATTACTGTCGTGAAGGGGGGCGGGGTTCTACTGTACTTTGTAAAATGAGACGAATGACATCACAAAGCCCTGTCATCAACTCCCTTCCATTCAGCGGCACAGGTGGAAAGCAGAGACCCCCCCCCCTTCCCCCCCCCCAGTTACTTCATATTATCCGATTGGTCGAGTAATTGGAACACATACATGGTAGCATAATTAATAAACTCGTATAACCACCAAGATGGCACAGTTCCAGACCCAAGCATTTATTGCCCGTGGGCATCGTTGTTTCCTGTACTTTGTGAGACTAAGATAAACCGCTGGGCCGTGGACTCTGAACATTAAATAACTCGGTATTTAATGAGCGGTCGGGATGTCTAGCCGTGAGTGGTTCTTGGTAAAAAAAAAAAATCACCCCCAAGTATTTACAATGTCTAGCCTAAGTAAAAAAAAAATTGGGGGGTGAGGGGGGGTTTAACTACATCTGGTTCCAGTTAATGTGTTATTATCATCCTTTTACTTGCCCATTTTAAATGTTTTACTCTTTATTGTGAAGCACTTTGAGATGCTTATAAGCACTTAAGTGCTTAATATGTCAAAACCTCGCTTTTATTCCTACATATTGCTATCTCACCTGCAATTTTCGTATCTTTTATAAATTAAACAAATCCAACGTAACTATGTTTCATTGAATTCTCTGACTAAACCAAAGAGGATGTATTGAGACAGTGTTTAGCACTTGGACAATACATCCTTTCCATATCTGTCTCCGCACGAACAAAAAAACATTACACATCCGATCGGCCACACGGCCTTCTGGGGGTACATTTTTTTTCAGCAGCGTTGGTTTAACACAAGCAAACTATGGACCGATTTCAACATTCAATGTCTCATCTGCAGTGTGAGGCTTGCTTGAACCAATGCTGATGAACTGCCAGTTGTTTATAGGCAAGGACCCTTTCTGTTAGATATCACACACACATTGGTGCATGTATATTGAGCTTAAGAATCAATTTTAATTACTTAATCCATGTATTCTTCCACCCTTACTGCAATATATATCTTAGCCATTGTGTACAACTGACTCATCTAGACAAACCTAAACACCAATGCTGCACACAACTTTTAAACGGGAGCTCTTTTTTTTGCCACTGAAATTAACACAATAATGTTTGAGCCTGACCTAAACTTCAATGCCATGTTTTGCAGGCGCTACTTTGGAGAGAAAATTGGGCTGTACTTTGCCTGGATTGGCTGGTACACGGGGATGCTGATCCCAGCGGCTGCCGTGGGCCTTGCCGTGTTCCTGTACGGCTGTTACACCATCAACACCAGCCAGGTCAGGTTGGTAGCGCACGGTGGAACACCATTTTTTTAATGAGGATTCTGCCACGTGGCGTAATGGTTAGCAGTGATGACGTCATCCTGCTGCTCTGTTTAAGACCGGCAGCAGGAGGATTGCTTCACTATTCTGGCAAATCGCCCGATGATGCTGGTTGATCTAATTACCAGCGAAACGTCGTACTACTCAAATTGTAAATGTTGTGGATTTACTCTCCAACACACCGGTTCAGCCCAACTAATTGACGTTTTGTTTACATGACAAATCCCTTACTAATTGGCTTCGTCGGGTGGTGGAGGGTTACGACACATTTATATTTACGCGATCTGACCCAAAAATCTTTATTATGAATATTGGTCGCGAAAGCCTAAGTGTTAAACTAGTAGACTGTTCTTTACATCATATTCGCATGTACAGATCCTACAAAGAAAACATGCAAATTATATCTTCCACCTACTTGGTCGACCAAATTCACAATTTCTCCTCCAAAATTGGCTCTGTCGTGGTGGCATAAGTGGCACACAGTGGTCAGTGGTTCGATCTCCAAGCACAACCGTTGAAGAAAATGTGCAAGTTTATGAAATCCCCCCCCCTCCCCGCCTCTGTTCACTCGGCAGTATAAATGAGTACACAAAATATGCTCAAAATGTCCCCCCCAATATATTGCATTAAATAGATTTCTGTTTATATGATTGTGGTTATGGTTGTACTTTATAAATCCCTAATCTCTGCCATTACATACAATGAAACAAGAAAAGGTAAAAAAAGAATAAAACAGAGCAATGTAATACAATACACTATTAGACATTATTGTAAAAAATAAATTAAAAGTCCATCCTATGTGTTAGTGAATTTTTTTTATATTTTAGGCAGGAAATGGCAGGAAATTCGTTTTCAAATTTAGATTTTTTTTTCTGGAAGATTTGGTCCCCCCCCCAATGTTAACTCCATGGCTACGGCCTTGGAGTACACCACAGTTTGTCAATCGGCAGGTCGTGTGGTAAGTCACGTGGGGAATGGCTCATACCACCTGGAAGAGTAGGCCAAAAGAGCCTCGATAGGGGCCCTCTAGAGCTATCGGCACTCGAGGCGCTGTCTAGAACTCCCTCTCGTGGAGTTCTCTTCCACAGCAGCAGCAGCAGCAGCGTTAGCAGATCATCACAGGGCTTACAGATTACAAGTATTTTTTCACGGCCACGTATTGTACACATTTTCAGATTTCCCCCACTTTACTTGTCAGTTCCCATGTCTCTGTTATTCACTGATTAGAGGCACCTGCCTCGGACTACACCGTGCAACAGGAAGTGGAACCCACGGATTAGAGAAACATAACGCAAGTTGGAGACATCATAATGACCGTTGATGAAAAAAAAGTAAATGAGCTTAGACAGGGCACGTCGCTTAAAGCTATGATGGCTGTTGGTCGAGACTAACACCGGAGTGACAGCCAAACGAGGAAATGCACCAGAGAGGAGCGTCCGCGGTGGAGACGGAACGTCGAAATACGCTCGTGTGCAGGTGCCGGATGGATTGTTGCTTCGCAGCACCGTGAGGAATGGTTCATCGAGCAGACGTCCCGCACCTCCAATTAGCGCGGTTGGCTACGTACGGCGCGAAAGAAGTTCAACATACGTACATGCAAAATGCCTCGGCTCAATGTTGTTGTGGCATAGTCGCACTATATTTGTTGCCTCAACTCTTGGTCCGTTTGTCAAATACAAATAAGAAAATATCTGGGACTTCTGTTCACAAACATGTCCAATCAGAAAAAAAGCAGGATGGTCCTTATGAAGGATAATTGACAAATGTTCTGAACTAAATTCTAAATTTGACCTTTTATTACTAGGAAGATTAGGATTACAAAACTGGATGATAATGTAGGAGCATTGCTCAGGACATAATTTTGTTTTTGTTCTACAAATGCATCATGTCCACCTTTGTTTCAAGTTTTCTTTTTTCTGAGTGATACCACTTTATCAGCCTGCTCGGTTTTATTTTTGAGCTCCAATATTTTCCTTCATTTAATACCCATTAACGTCATCATTTTTCCATCAGCTGCAATTGGTCCACTCAGTATTGCAATATGTTGAGCAATGCTATTCTATTACCGCAGCTATTAGCCAGCAAAACACACCTATGCAAGCATTTGTCCATTGTTTAGAACAGAGCAGCTGTATTTATTTTGATCCAATGTACGTGTATTCACCGACGGGTATTTTGATCACTTGCATATAATTGCAGTAGGGTGTACATTTTCATAGTTTTAACTAATACATTGTAGATTGATAAATTGGTCAAAATATAGTCATTTATAAAGCAGCCTTTATGTTTCACGTATATAGGAGCGATGTATCGAAGCTGAATTCATATTTTGTTAAGGAGCAGAGTAGATTGCATGGGATATCAATAATATACAATCACTGGAATGCATAATTTTCACTGAAGCTTGTGTATTATTTTTTATGGGGGACACCATTTCACTTATTTTGCGTTAGCCACATAGTGGCGGTTGCTTGTGCTCGGCGAGATGTGAAGTGAAGTGTCGGAAGGCTCGCTGGTAGGAGGTCACGGGACAGACCCAGGTGCCTTGCTTGGGTTGACTGAGATGGCTGGCAGATGCACCAGCTGTACTCTTTACTGTGCCAATTTTCATGAAGCAGCCACCCAAACACCTTCTGCACACAAGCATGCACACAAACAGCAGCCAAGGAACTTGGAATCCTGATTCGTCCCTTTAGCTGGCATAAGCCAAGTGAAAGGATTGCCCAAGACATTATGACCTTGTCAAATGTGTTTTATTCAAATGTAGCAGAGCAGAGCTGTGTTGATAAAGGAGGGAATGAGATACCTCAATTTTTTTTACCTCCAAACAGAGCAACGGGAAAGCAATGCTCTACTCAAAGCCTGTCCAATGTGAAATTGCCTTATTAACATCAGCAGTAACATCTCTATGCTTTTCAGCTGAATCATATAGAGCCTGTGACTGCGCTGCCAAAATGTGTCGTTGGCCCTTTCAGTATTGGTGATATCACTTTGAGTGTCAGTATAATTAAAGGGATGGGTTCTGATGCAGGTGACCCATGTGGAGGACAAAACACAAGGTCACTCCCTATTAATGTCAACCATCCATGGCCACCACTTAACCCCACTGCAAGTATACGTGAGTTTGACTCCAGAAGTTAGTTGGCTTAGCAGATTTACCGCTACCGGATGGATAAAAGTACCACATTATGAATGCGGGTCTTTCAGATCCTTGTGCAAAAATGTTGCCTAGTATCCTGGAAGGACACTGGATTCCAAGTTGGACAAAGTTTGTAAAGCATTTTAAGTATACAACTTAGCTGCTCTTTGAATATACGCATCATGAACAGAGATGTTGTGCCCATTCTCATTGGCAAACTCCACAATTTGACTGGAATCCAACCCTTGGCAGACATCTGGGTGGCCTTTGTAATGGGTAGTAATTTCTGCTTTTGCCACATGAGTAGAATATGCGCCAGCCTTGGAAACAAAGATCAAGAGCCTCGCCTGTGTTGCGCGCATTTTTTTTCTCATTGCAACGCAACATCCAAATTGTCAACCTGGCAGGCTTGGCTGCTCGTGTGACGAGGTTACGGAGACATTTGTGCGAGTGGCTTGTCACCCTTTTGAATAGCTACACTTGCACTCCGATCGCTTAAAAAGAAAATCTCAAAACACTGTCTGTTGTCGTGTGTGACAAAACAAGCTCTCTCACCTATGCGAGGGCCCAAAATGGATCTCTTCTGTCTGAAGAATTGAGCTATGAACAAATTACCACCCACTCAGAATGCTTTACTCACAACATGGTCGACAGGCTGTCTACCTTGCTGAAAATTTTGGTCACAAACACAATGTCACTGGCTCCTTCTCCAGAGGGCTTCGGTCTGACCAAAATGGACAAATCATGGGTGCCAATTTGGACGACAATTCCAGGGGAGTCTAAAGCACACAAAGAGACGATCAAGCGCTCCTGCAAAAGAAATTGTTTCAACTGTAGGCATGGGAAAGACACGTTTGGATTGTGCACCATTTTGCAAAAGCAAATGGAAGAAATCTGCAAAAGAAAACGGAGAGAGAGCAAAAGCTGTACACACAACTTTTCAAGCGGAATTGTGAGGAGCCTGAAACATATTTATGTAAATATTAACGGTTATGATAGTTTACACATCTCTGGATATCAGAATCCATTTTCTGTAACTGACATATGGACCTGGTTTAAACAGAGCTTGTTTTTGTTATTGTTACACTGCCAGCCATGCTATAAAAAACAATTAGAAGGGCTTCTAGCCTGACATTGATTCTAAGGACTAAAAATACTAAAATAAAAAAAATTGGTGCTTTTATTCACCATGTTACAGAAATGTTACAAAAATATGCTACACCACCGAGCTGCTGCAAGTGACACGTGTAACTTGTTTAATTTCCATTACATGCGCTCCTTGTTGTTTGCTACTCCCACGTCTTCAAAAATGTCCGGCTAGCATCGAAAAGTGGGCCAAAAACGCTCTCGTGTCTGTATTTCCACATATAGATACCCACATAGACATGCATATAACTCTTAAACTATTTTTTATTTTACCAGGTAAGGCCCACTGAGCTATATAGCTTTTTCAGAAGCGACCTGGCCACAAATGGTAGCTCATTGCAGTGGCTTATCATGGGGACATTCGAAGCAGCCAAATACTATAAACGCAGGTTTATAAATGTGGTAGGAATAACCAGAGGACCCGGAGGGAAATCCACACTAACACGGGGAGAACATGCAAATTCCTCCAAATGTACAGCAGGTGTCAAGGTCGGGATCGAACCCACGGCGTCCTGCATACCAGTCGAGGGAGGTAATATCTTGCCGCCATGGCACCCACATAGACGCCTCCTCTGTAGAGCTGCCCCTAGTCGAGATCTTTCTTCCAGCTGTGGCGTGAAGAAGCAATTGCAGGCGGAACCTTTGCCTTTTTCAACCATTTATTTTCCAACTGCATTTTTCTTATTTTGTATTTTCTTTTCTTTTGGGATGTTTTGTTTGCTTTATTGTTGAAAGGTCACACTATGCTCTGTGATTTCACTGGAAACGTTCAGCTGAACCGGCCTGTGACATTCACCTGTCACGGGGAGCTGCGTTTTTGCTCTCTCCCACACTAAGCTCCTTCTCTGCGTGTGTAGCAAGGAAGTCTGCAGCGCCAACATAGAAATGTGTCCGATGTGCGAGAAGTGTGACTTCTGGAAGCTGTCCGACAGCTGCCTCTATGCCAAGGTAACTCGCAGAGGTCTTTATTTAATTCTCATTGCGATGCCATTCATTGAGCAATGCTAAAAACACATTACGCAAAATGGAGTTTTGTAGTTTTGCCTATAAACTAAATATAATTTGTTCTATCGACCTATTGGATTTCTGGACCAATATTTCTCCAGCAGAATTTGTTAAAGCAAGCAAGCAAACTCTGAGCCGATTTCAACCTAGATCTCATTAGCAGAGTCAGTCTTTTAAAACAAATATTTATTCACATATGGAGATACAGGACAAATGCTGCTGGATAATTTGGGGGTAGGGAACTGTTCCAATTAGTGCGGTTGGCTACGTACGGTACAGAAGAAGTTCAACATACTCCATTCTGCATATATTTGTTATTACCCATAACAGCGCAAAATGAGTTTGTTCTGAGAACACGCACATACATATTTACCCAGATGTTGGAACTTGGATGTGCATTGACTTCAGGGCTTGACAATCCAACAGGTTCCCATTGCAATACCTACTGGAAGCATTGCCATGGAGAGGTGTCTTCGTTCTCATACGATGTTAAATTGACGTGTCTACCCTTTGTTTGGTTAAGTGCCCTGTAGCACACACTTGTGAAGAACGAGGGATTTTGCACAGCAATGACACTACCATTACAGCCTAATAACATGTGAGCATTGTCCACACAATTCATTTATAACTTTATAAATTGTCAACAATCAGGTGCCTCGTTTGGTTTTACAAGTCACGTTAAATGATGTTTAAAATGCAGCCAAGGGAGATTGAATATTTTTTTCAATGGTTAACATGATTATGTTCTCCGTGCTGCGAACAACCAGTCCTTGACCCCTTGGTCATGGCAGTAAAAAGCATGGTCTTGTTTTTCAATCGATGATCCTCATCGTTTCCTTCCGAGTTACAACCCAAGCTGGGTCATGCACAGTGGTCATCTTTCACCTGCCGCGTTTGTATATTCGTGTCTCCTTTGGCTGATTGGATTATCAGGATTTATTTTTAAATATTTTTTTTTCAGTGATGAAGTGGAAAAAGAATGAGCATGAATGTAGTTATTTTTGTTTTTATTCATGATTGACACCAACAGAAAGTCACGTCATGTCACTAGATGTTTTATGCAATGAAATGTAATTTCCGAATACCCTTTTATTTCACAAATTTGTTGCAGGTAACAAATCTCTTTGACAATGCAGCAACAGTGTTCTTTGCCATTTTCATGGCAATCTGGGGTAAGTTGTACAACTTTGCATTGCATCTCTTAACGTTGAGCATATACAATACATTTTCAAGATAATCATACATTTTACATGAAATCAGTACAGTTTTTAAAGTAGCAACTTGAATAATCTTCCTCTAAAATGATTGTCTTAGCGCTATTCGTATGTGCGGGTTTAAAGCCATGCAACAAGTATAAAACCAGTGAACTATTTATTCAGGTGGCAAAGTGGTCATTTAAAAATGTACATTGCCTTTTCAATGATTTTGCCGCAACTACAGAACTAAATATAACTGGTTCGAAACATTATATTTCTTTTTTCAATGTTTTTGTCTTTAATCGTGAAAGTAATTCACACCGCATTATCATTGTCCATTCGTGCGCATCATATTTACAACTGTGCTGAGCTTGAGTTAGGTGCAAAGGAATCATTCAAGGAGTCCTTTACCAGCCTTACAAATCTACTCTGACATTTTGCACCTGTGGTTGGCTCATTCCCGTCTTGTTATTGGGCTCATGGGACGCATCCACAGGCCCTTTGATGAACAAAATAAAATAAGGGGCATGAGAAAAAATAAGTACATTCATCAGGTAAACATTAAAAGTTTAAAGTACAGCCCTGCAATTATTTGCCTGTACTATCGCTGTCAGAAAGGCCTTCACTAAATGGCGCTCTAGAGAATCCCTTTATAGGGCATTTGACCTATTCTTCTACACTGGCCTGATGTCTTGGACAAATGAGAGTATACCCACACTTTACACCATCACACGTGACCTGCCGACTACTGCGTTGTACCCATATTTACATTTACCGCTGAGTGGAAAGAGGTTTTAGTAAACGCGTGAATTGTTTTAACTGCCACGCCGGGGCGATCGAATCGAACTGGCGACCTCTGGATTGCGAGTCCATAGTCCTAACCACGAGACCACAGCAGAGAGAAGCTCTTGAAAGCCTCTCTAGAATTCCCTCGAGAGAAGGCCCTTCCATCAGCAGTGGGCACGAGCGAGCAAGCAACTGTAGGGTGGCACCGTTAGCTCTCGCATCGATAAACACGTGAATAAATAACCCAATATTTAACGCGAGATAAAGTCGGGGGTAAAGCATGTTAAACATCTCATTCTCTGCTGTTGCGAGTCCATCTGTGGCAACCTGATCCCTTCTTCTGACGAGACCGGGCCTGGTTTTTCGTGAATTCACGTGGACACACTGCCGGGTGGCGGCTGCAGGTTGCTCCCGTAGGATGGTGTCGTATTGTGGGAGTAGGCGGTCGGAGAGAAGTCGTAAAACCTTGGGTTCCGGTGCTCGTTGAAGTCGTCCAGCCGAAAAACTGTGACGGTTAAAAAACGAATAACATGGAATTGGTGAGATAAAGGGCAATCAATATAAGCTGTTCAGGTTGTTACAATTACATTTTTGATTTGTGTACCGTCTGACTGCAGCTGCATGTCAAGACGCCGTAGGAAATAGTGGGACAGGAGCATCACAGGGATGGAAGGGATGTGCTTTTATTTAAAATATAATGTGATATTGAAATCACTTCGTAGACGAGGCACAGAGAGGCATAGCTAGAGGAGAAAAGGAGGTTCCTGTAGCTTCACTTCGAAGATAGGCAGGGAGCCGGCAGTACTGATGGCTGGGGGGGAAATAATGGGGGAGGGAATTCCAGACCATGGGGAAAGCGGCATGATTAACTTCACTTTGAGCAGATATGCTCCTAAGAGATGCTTATTGAGACTGCTTGTACGTGGAAACGTGTGCGGATATTTAGGACAAACCCTGTGACCACAGGCAATACGAATGGGGAGCCAAGAGAGGCAGCTGGAGAATTAATCAAGAACAATAATTAACACATCAAAGAAGGTCACAATCCGTATCCTATTTATGTCAGCATAAAAAAAATAGATGTAATTTATAACCATCATTTTTTTACGATGTTTTCCATGCCAAACGCTCACGTCCCCTGGTTAATCAACCCATACTGACCAGAGTGGTGATGTATGGTCAAACAACCTCAATGACTGATACGACATGGGGAGGCCCTCAACTTGCAGTATATTGCCCAATCTGGAATCGTATTATTATTGTTGGTGACATTCGATATTAATATTTTCCAAGAGGATCCTGCATCATTGGGATTATTTTTTTTGAAATTACTCTTAGACGGGTGGTGTTGTATGATGCTCGTTTTGAATCTATAGGTTACAGTGCTAATTACGAGGCTCCAAGAGAGAGACAGACTTCGATACCTTGGTATTCATCTTCTTGGTTCTTTCGGTAAAGTCACGTGACTTTACCGAAAGAACCAAGAAGATGAATCCCTGCAGTCACGAAAGCTTTAAATCGAAATTTACCTTGGTATTGTTATGTTAGTTCAGCACTGCTGCAGAAAAAGCACCCGGTCTTCATATTTAAAATATAACTTTACAATATCATCATCATCAGCTCTCCGATGCATTTTCCAGTTGTGGGCACGTTGTTCCGCATCATGCCCAACCTTTTACTCCCCGTGTCGGGGAGCTTCAGAAAATGAAGAGAATCTCCCAGCATATGGAGCGCAAACATGAGACATCGTGCCGCACAACACACGGCACAACACTGCACTACCGCAAAAAACCTACGCAGTGGAACGAGGTCATCTTCGTTATTGTCAGTTCACCTCGATCTTTTTTTTTACTTTAAAGAAGCACGTTTGGCACGAGTGAGCCTCAGGCTTACCGACTTCCCCCGATTCATCGTACAGACGCTGGTGGTCAAACTGCACTGTCTTGATGTCCTTGCAACACAGGCAGTAGATGGCAACGAGCAGCAGGATGAAAAAAGCAAAGATGCTCAAAATTGCTGCCACGACTGGCCAGATGGTCTTCTTATAATCCGATGCTGCAAAACACAGTGCTCGTATTACAACGAAGGCATTGGACATACACAATTTATTTTCGTATTGTACAATACAGTATATTTGTGTTTTTGTTTTGTTTTGCCCTGTGCCATTAGGCTGAAACGAGATGGATGTGAATTTTTTTTTTAGATAATATGAAGAAGAAAAAAACCCGTCAATTCAATCAAGGATCAGTTATTCCATTAGGGCTTAGTGCAGTGGCACAGTATTTATCTCACTGCATGATTACATCAATTGACCCTGATTTGTATTACAGGCCATGGCTACCATAATTGGCGAGTCATATCTGAACTAATCCTGACACCCCAAACTTTCCCCTTCCACAACCTCAAACAGCCTCCACGACTGTAACAGCATAAGTAGGATTCACTGAACAGTGGGTGGATAATGGACTGCAAATTATGATAATTTTAATTACCCGAGTTCACGTGCAATGTTGTGCATAGTTCCTATAGGCAGCTGTGCTGTGACACGTGCTCTGTGAGACTGGAAGTAAAGAATATTAACATGACACGAATTGGCTAGAACATTTCATTTGGTATAGGCGGCGTTTTGGCTTCTGCGGGATTTTTATGAGCCACTTGCTTTCGCGCGGTGTGTGTTATGTTTGCTGGAGCAGTAGAACATGGCCTGTTACGTGTTTGAGTAATTGCACGTCATGGGAATTACGTCCAAAGATATCATGGCACTCCCATGGAAACCAGCCAGAACGCGTCCTGGCAACGTGGAGTTGCTAGGAGTCAGATGAATGGGGGAAAGAAAACCGAGATGGCTGGAGGCTTTTTGGTCACTGCGAAGCCATGGTCTTACAGAGTTTGTGAAGCCATATTTTATGGCCTTCCTCCCTGGACAAAGAAGGCAAATTCACAAAATGCTGTGGTTTATTACAGATGTCTATTTAGATTGCATTTAGGCTTAAAAGTTCAAAGCAATATTCAATCTTTTTGAGTCTATGAAGATGAAAATAGAAAAAAATATATATAGAACCATGAAAAGATATTTTTTATTAAAGTGGGTACACGCACTGGTTAGGCTTGCTGAGCGACAGGCACTTGTTTGCAGGATTATCCAGCTTCACAGGGGAATTGTTTATTTGCAAAATTGCCTGTCCCGGTAGTTTTTTTTTTAAATGTATAGCATTTGGATTAAGATAAGTGCACACAATTATCATGGAACATTATGGTTCGGGCCTGAATTCTCGGTATTGGTAGAATTAGATTTTGTTTGAATGGTCATGGCTTTTTTATACGTGTGCTCAATGTATGTATAAAAGCAGATCCATGAAATAAAAATGAGAAAATGAGGCTGCAGCGATGCACATAATCGAGGAGAACTCTTTTAGGTATTGTTCTACAAAACATTAACACTCTGATGCAATGAAACATTTTGACAGATCCAAATGCTGCAGTGACTATTTATATTCAATGCCTCGTAACCATCAGCGGGTGTTGCACACTCTCTTATCAGCTTCAGCACTTTGTGGGAGGAAAATTACTTGGTTGGGTGATGGTGGGGGAGATATAATTTTGAAAGTCCTTCACGAGATAGAGGAATATATAACTTGAAGGTGAAACTCGTTTTTTTGTGGCTCAAAATGAAAAACTATTATTTTCAGATTTTTTTTCTCTAATTAATAGCATTGACTCGACTATATCTGTGCCTTTTCAACTTTCTCACCCTTCTAGAACATCATAAGAATGCACACGCCACTCAATTACAATTTATAATACATATTAGATCTGGGATAGTTCATTATATAGCATGTGGTGGGGTAAAGTTTGGGTCCTCCCACCTCTTCCAAGACCTTTAGCCAGCATGGAAGAGTTGGCCAAATATACACTCCAGAGGGTCTCTCGAAAGCTTTCTCTAGTAGAGGTCCTTCCACCAGCAGTGGCATGACCAAGTAGTTTCTGCACCTTTACTCTATTAGATATTCACCCCCTTGCGGTATGGCTTCTTGCAAACCACTCCAATCCTCTTCTTAGTTCTTTCGGTAAAGTCACGTAGAAGGGAAATAATAAAATAATAAAAATAAAACACAAAATAATTCTCACGACGTTTCGGCCACAACGCACGTTTCGGCCACAACGCAAGCAGCCGTCCGTTGTGGCCGAAACGTCGTGAGAATTATTTTATTATGTTTTATTCTATTATTTTATTATTTCCCTTCCACGTGACTTTACCGAAAGAACCAAGAAGATGAATCCCTGCAGTCACGAAAGCTTTAAATCTAAACACACCAATTCTACTTTGTCCTCACCGATGTGAACTGGTAGAAGTAAGGCGACAACAACAATCTGCAAACGAGTTGATGAAAGGGGACACCTACTAGGAGAGTTTGGCAGTGCGGAGCGAGCCGTGGACACGCTGCCCTGTGCCGCCACCGTAGTCGTCGACGGGCTTGGCTTGGGGCCGGAGGGCAGCGGAGAGGCGGTGGGTATCGTGCCGTAGGAATTCGTGCCATTCGGTGGCGCGCCCGAGGCCACGGTGCCGTTTGAGCCGCTCTGACTGGGCTGTAGAGTTGGCGCGCTGAGCGGCGTCCCCGCCGTGACAGCTGTGCCCACAGCTGTGCCCACCGTGCCCGCCGCGATGGTGGCGTTCACACTGCCATTGGGGGTGGTGCCGAACGCTGGAGAGGTCACGGAGGTGTTGGAGGTCTGCGTCGAAGGTGTGGCGGTAACGTTGCTGAGCGCTGTGGCGTTGGCCGTGCTGTTTGGCAAAGGGGTCACGGAGGACGACTGGCATTTTCCTGATTCCGCAGTCAACAGCACCGCGAGGAACGTGACGAAGGCTCTTTCCCGAGCCATCGTAGATGTTTGGCAATTTATATATGTCCACAGAAGAGGATATATGGACGGACCTTTATCGAATCCTAAAAACGGGAAAAACAACATATTGTAAATTGCTGCTCATATGCAAAAGCAAACGTTTCACTCATTCCCTGCAAGTTACTTTTGTACCCTAAAAGATGAATAGGACTGAATATGGTGTAAACGTTGTTTTTTTTGTTGGGTCTTTTTGTACAATCATAATTGGCTGAGTTAAGGTCATCACACCCGTTGAAAACGTTAGCCCTCTAGTGCCCCAAATAAACTACGCCAACGTTTGACCATGCGACATGGTGTGGACTTGAACCAAGGATGTGACAGAAGTTCTGCCTTTTACCCTATCACGCGGATCATTTACCTGGGCTGCCTGGCCACTCTGTTAGAAGCTGTGTTGAAATGCCACTGTGTGGACATGTGTAAAATGACTCTCGTTGGCCTGGCCAGCCAACAGGGACTTCTGCACTGAGGGGGCCTTTGTTGCGGCACAGTGCGTGTGGACTACGTGGGCATAGAGAAATCCGTGTTTTTTTCCCTCTCTTCCCCCAACACCGGATGCAAGCGGAAGCCTTGTGAGAGTGCTTATCTGTTGCATCAGTAGTCCCCAGGGTGAGCATTAGCTTCACTACAGGCCAGGACAACCAATGACCAGCTCTCTCCGTGACTGCGCCGACCATGGCAACTGCTAACCACTACAGTTTTCCTCCACCCCCCTGTAATGCCTCTGTAATGATGTTTATTTATTTTGTAGTACCTGTTCATGATACGATGGAGTGGAGTTGTCGAATTCTCTGTTCCTTCCATGGCAACTGCTCACCCACTAATAACCTCATCCTGTTCTTGCCTCCCCCAGGCTCCTCTCTAATGACGTCGCGTTCATTATTTTTTTTCTTCCGAGTACCTGCCTCGTATTATGAACCAGTGGAATCGTGAACAATTCTCACAGAAAAAAACTTTTTTTTATACCGTTAAATTATATGCTGCTGCTGCTGCAATTTAAGCGAAACCACATAATGCAATAAAATGGTAGTGTGCGCATATATTTATTTATGTGCTAATGGTACACTGTGATCATTGCTTAGGTAATGCAAATGAAACTGCCACGGCAGCCGTAAACACAAACAGGGTACGATACAAACCGCAGAAGGTGCCACGTGAAATGTTTGTGCGGTTAAAACAAATACGTAGCCAATTACATTTTGTGCAAAAGCTGTAGAAATGTTTAAAACATATTCTCCGTTAATCACCCTTACATTGCCACGTTATATGTTACGTGGTTAATGTGTGCCATGGGAATATATGAACAAGAGGATAATAAACACACTCACAGGTTATCATGTGCTCTAACCTTGTTTTTCAGTATGGTAACTACTGACATTAATGCCCTTTTATTATTTTCGTCTTGCACAGATACCGGAATAAATCCAACATGAGAGTAGTGAAACATTTCTCTAACGTCTTTCATTCACAACACATTTTGACCACCACTCATGCAATGTTTTCACATTGTAAATTGAGCATCAGTGCATAAACGTAATTTCTGATTTCATTCCTTGCAATTTAATTCACGAAACAATTTCACATAAAACACATTGGCTTAAATTGAAACGTTATTTTTATGTTGTAACATTAAATGTATCTTGGTTAATAAAACCAGCATGCACAAAAGTTACTTGCTGGCTATATCCAGCAGACAGAGCATACATACATTCACTACCATTGAAATTACCATCTTAATCTTGCATATAAAGATAATGCTGCGATTATTAAAATATTTGCTGTTCTAAACTGGCATTACATCAGTTGCAGGAAATCGTATGCAGCGCCCATAATAACTAACTCGGCAAACACTGCAACGTCTAGAAGATGGGTTTGTGTTTATTAGATATATTTACTTATTTTCTATGCCATTAAAACTCGGGCTTACCTGGCTCGGTCGACGCGGAGAATACACGAGCCTCTGTCTTCTATGTGTAAAGAGCTCCAACAGGGGGGGGGCAGATGTCCCCACCGCTCATATTATCAGCTCGCCCGTGGCCCCACCCCAGCTGAAAGCCACTCCCTGCAGACGAAGCTCGCTCTCTCCCAGCCCATGTGCCCTGCGCGCCACCCCCACTCATTAGCGCCTGCTGTGGCACAGCAGTTGCATATTCAACGGCGCTCGCCCGTAATTTACCCCGCTGTCTGTTTTTTTTTAGAAATGCGCACACCGTAGATTCGGGGTTATTTTGTTGTTTCTGTCATATTTCTTAGCCCGAGCTATAATCGGTGAGTCGCGCAGCGGTGTCGTAACGCCTAAGCCAGCGGTCGGCAACCAAAACAAGATTGACCATTTTTTTTATTCGGCCAAAAAATGTATTTCAAGAGCCGTAGTGCAATGTGAATACGAGACGGTCCTTAATCACATGGTGAACTGGACTTCCATGGTAAACTGGACTTCCATGGTAAACTGGCCTCCCATGGTGAACTGGACTTCCATTGTAAACTGGACTCACATGGTAAACTGGCCTCTCATGGTGAACTGGACTTCCATGGTAAACTGGACTTTCATGGTAAACTGGCCTTCCATTGTAAACAGGACTTCCATGGTAAACTGGACTCACATGGTAAACTGGCCTCCCATGATGAACTGGACGTCCATGGTAAACTGGACTTCCATGGTAAACTGGCCTTCCATGGTAAACTGGATTTCCATGGTAAACTGGACTCTCATGGTAAACTGGACATCCATGGTAAACTTGACATCCACGGTAAACTGGACTCCCATGGTAAACTGGACTCCCATGGTCAACTGGACCATTCGTGGTAAACTGGACTTCCATGGTGAACTGGACTCCCATGGTCAGGGGTCGGCAACCACAATAACAAAAATAAAATAAAAATTTCGAACTTCCGGAGCCATTTGCAGGCCTTAAAGAGCCGCATGCAGCTCCAGAGCCGCAGGTTGTTTGACTCTTGTTTGACTGCCAATGAAGCTGATATTCAGAAATGTGTCAGAGTCATTTGCTCATGCATTCCACATTGGTCCTGGCTCAAAGTAGCACGCACTAAGCGTGCACCTTAGTGGGTTTCATTAATGATAATAGCGAATTAAAGCAATGAAAGAAACCTGACGTGTCTAAAAGAGGCGGCGCTGCATATACTTTGCAGGGTATGTTAATTGTAGCCTTTAACCCATTCTATCGAGGGAATGACCCTTGTCATGGGAATGTGGAATTATCATCACACGTTCAGGGCCACCGACGGGGAGAAGCTCCGACCCCCGTTGCTTGTTAGATGCGGCGGCGGGCACTTCGGTTTTGACCTGCCAACGACAACAGCTAAAATAAAGTAACAGTACTTTACCGGCCGAAGTGCATTAAACAAAAGCTCTGAGCAGAGGTCGCAAACGGGTTTTGATTCCTTACCCGTATCTGTACCCGGCCGCACCAGGGTCGCAAACAGGTACCCGTACCCGGCCGTACCCGTACCCTACCCGTACCCGGCCGGGTACGGGTAGGGTACGGGTATCGGGTACCTGATTGCGACCTCTGGGATGAAGCCATGTTGCAGGCGCGGGTGGGTTGATTCTAGGAACTTAAATTGTGAGAAGAGACACGACGTTGGGAAATGAGTGACAAACGGTTACTCACCAGTGACTCACGGCCTCCCCGTACCCGGCCGCACCAGGGTCGCAAACGGGTACCCGTACCCGTACCCGGCCGGGTATCGGGTAGGGTACCCGGTTGCGACCTCTGGCTCTGAGGTGGCGCTTGAAGTTTTCTTACACAACTTAACTCGCAGCATTGGTATGTATACCTGGCTGGTATTCACGTGACTTTGAATATCTAATGTCATCAAAGATAATTAAAGTAATAATATACAGCTCTGTGTCAATCTACGAGTGGATGAAGTCCTCCTCGTACCGTGTCAGTTATGGGGGAATGTTTTCACCATACTTCACCACGCCTCTCAGTTTCTATTCTATTCTTGCGTAATGGCAATATGCTCAGGAGCAAAGTGCCAATGTGGAGGTCTGCTCGCCACGAGGGGGCTTCAGGAGATAGTTCGTGTGGTTTTGCTGGTCCTCCGTTGAAGGAACACACTCTACGGTGGTTTACTGGAAGGTCCCATTGTGTGGGTTGTATGGCCACAGCGACATTGCGGTTTCTGCGCATCGCGTCGATTAGGTGTACAGTATGATGGCATCTGATGATTTTGGGGGACTTTCAGAAGCAGGCCATGATGGCAAAAAATAGTGTCATAGGCAGCAGCAGCAGAGAGTTAAATATTTTCTGAAGCTCCGTCCTGGACAGACTCCGACTGAAATTAAGCCGACTTTTAACTCGCTGTCTACCAAAAACTCGATCTCCCAGAGCATCAATTGGTCAATGCCAAGTGTTCATCCAGGGAGAGGTGCCCACATGGGAACGTGTCCGTGTTGTCGCGTCAGTCGGTGGTTTCGAAGAGAGAAAATAAGCCACAACGCCTGCGTAGAGGGAGGCACCGATGTGCGCTGTAAACGAACGCTCTTGTCGCACGTAAGAATAAACATGATCGCGTCAGGCACATGCCGTTCCAGCCCATCTCTGACATGAGATGAACAAATACAGTTATTTTAGCGCATTGTCTGCAAATTTATTCTTGGCCAGAAACTCGTCAGTGCGTCTGTTTGCTCGCTCTCGTTTTTATGTGCGAAGAATAATACTCGGTTACTACGATATCACGTGTCTTGAGCAAAGAGCCATGACGGTCGCGATCATGTCATTACTTTTAACGCCGATTAATATTTTTGATGATGATGATGACGACGACGGTGATGAGCATGTGTTGATGGGTGAACATTTCCTTTGCCTCTGAAGCCACCGTATTCCTCGAATTCTGGAAGAGGCGGAAATCGGAGCTTGCGTACGAGTGGGATCTCCTGGATTGGGAGGAAGAGGAGGTAACACACGGACACGCGGTCGCACCTCCTGTCACCAAGCATGCCCCCCCCCCCCATATGCACATCTAAAGACAGGGATAAATGGAACTATAGGCATTACTCGCTGATATGGAAGAGCAGGCCAAACTATCTTCCAGAGTGTGGCTCCCTAGAGCTCTCTCTCGTCAAGGCCCTTCCGCCAGCAGTGGCGTGAGCAAGAAAATTGCAGGGCTGCACCTTTACCACCGTGTATAGAAACTGCAACGAACATCAAGCAACGGCGTACATTGCACACAGATGCCACTGTCGAAGCCTTTTTTTCTTCTTGTAAGCTGCTAAGAATAAAGTGGTTGTTTATTGGAAGCTTCCAAAATCACGCTCGTACGCCGAGAGCCAGATGTGTCTTGTGATGCTCCGGACAGACGGGCACGTGCTACGGTTACAGCACAGGCGCAGTGCAAACAACGCAGATCAATGCATGCATCCAAGTAGAACGATGACCTCGGTGGGAATCGTGGCCAAGCCTTATTTACGTGATATCGATTAGGCTTCACTGCAGCGTGGGCGATACGCCGGACTTTCTATTCATAGTCACTTTCCAAAATACGTTACACGATGGAACACTTGTCCTGCCACTATCGTTCATGGCCCAGTTTGTTGTTATTATTTCCCAACGATAAATGCTATGACTTAGGGACCGGCTTCCTGATACAACACTGAGCGCAGGAAGTGGACCCTTTCACAGAATACAAAGACAAACACGCGCACATACACGCGTATCAGCATTATGGATAAGTAGACCGACAATACCCTACAGAGGGTCTCTTGAGAGCTCATTGTGGCGGAGGCCCTTCTGCCAAAAGTGGCAAGAGAAAGCTATTTCAGGGCTGCAAACTTTACTATTCATCAACCTATCTAGAGATGGAAGTGACACAGCCAATGTGGAAAGTTGTTCCCTGGGGTTTCATATTGGGTGGCCGAGGTCATGGGGCGAAAAGACACAATGCATGAGTTTACGACGGCGTAGGCTTTTGCGGCTGTGCTGTTCCGCTCTCTCCGATGTGTTTTTTAGGGTTGTGCCGCGTGTTGTTGTTCAGTGACAACGCCGGAGTTCACGTCTGCTGCCCCGAGTCTCTGAGCTCGCTGCCTGGGTGTGGTCGTTTTTTGTCCTCTTGTTTGGCACTGCGTGCATGTAGGAGGAGATCCGGCCACAGTTCGAGGCTAAGTACTCACAGAAGGAGCGTCTCAACGCCATCTCGGGGAAGCCGGAGCCATACCAGTCCTTTCACGACAAGTGCAGCAGACTGGTGGTTTCTGCCTCTGGCATCTTCCTCATGGTACGATATAATACAATGTGGATTGAGCATCATCGACGTCGTCGTCAGCCAATATCAATCCACTTCTGGATGAAGGCCTCCCCCCCCCCCCCCAAGCTGACGCCATCGCTCATGATCTTGCGATGTAGTATTGCGCCTCGCACCTGCACGCGAGATAATTTTGTCGCTCCACTCACTCGGTGGATGGCCTCTGGGTTTCATCCCGTTCCTTGGCCGCCACTCCCATCATTATTCTTTACCAACGGCACATCCGATTAACACGGTTGGTGACGTGCGGCGCGAAACAAGTTCAACATACGTACGCACGTGATCCCTTTTAGCGTCGTGTCCTGCCCAAGCCTTACTTTGACTAACAGTCTGAACTATTTTATTAATTTGTGAATGTTCTCAAATCAATGTGTTCCCTCCCTCTCTGTTTCATGCATTTTTTTGCATGCTTTATTCACACAGTTTTCAATTTTTGTAAAAATGTATACGTGTTTCTGAACCGCATGTCATAGCAGGCAGTACCTGGTGCTTCAAAACTATCTTCTGAAGGCGCATGTGCACTTCAGAAGAACCGCATACAGAAACAGTGAGCATATGTATTTTTTAGATCGCAGAGAAAGTCAGTTGTTATTGGCAGAGGAGAAGAGGAAGGTCTTGAGGCCGGACTTGAACATTGACAGGGAGTCTTAAGGCATTGATGTCCAAGTGAAGGCAATTCTAGATTCTGGGGAAAACCATGGATAAATCTGTGTCTATTTAACACGTAGGCTTTCGCGACCAATATTATTCATAATCAACGATTTTTGGGTTTAGATCGCGTTATTTATAAATGTGTCGTAACCCTCCACCACCCGACACGGCCAATCAGTAAAAAAGCGTCACGTTGACAAAAGACAAATAGTTCACTGCTTTAGCCCACCAGTGTGTTGAAGCGTGAAACCACAACATTTACAATTTGAGTACGACATTTCACTGGTAATTGTATCCAGCATCATCGGGCAATTCGCCAGAATGGTGAGGCTCTCCTTTGTCTCCCGTTCTTATATAGAGCAGCAGCAGGGTGACGTCATCATTAACTCATTAACTCATCAGGTGCAACGATCTGAGGGGGGGGGGGGTTATTGTAATTATATACTAGATTAGTGTCTATGTTGAACTTCGCACCATATGTAGCCAACCGTGCTAATCGTAGGTGCGGGGCGGAAGGACATCGAACGAAACACATTTAGAGAATTCACCCTCCTCACAATTCAAGGCGATGACCTTGCGGGCCCGCCTCTTGCCACCGTCACTTACGAGGTGTTCGGTTGAGTTCAGCAGCTCACAGCAACAGGCCCGTGAGTTTACATCCCAGCCAGGGTGAACTCGGCCCTTCACCGCAGAGGTCGCTAACGGGTTTTGATTCCTTACCCGTACCCGTACCCGGCCGCACCAGGGTCGCAAATGCGTACCCCGTACCCGGCCGGATACGGGTAGCCGTTCCCTACCCGTACCCTACCCAAAATGAGTGACAAACGGTTACTCACCAGTGACTCACGGCCTACCCGTACCCGTACCCGGCCGCACCAGGGTCGCAAACGGCTACCCGTACCCGTACCCGGCCGGGTATGGGTACGGGTAGCCGTTCCCTACCCGTACCCATACCCTACCCGAAATGAGTGACACACGGTTACTCACCAGTGACTCACGGCCTACCCGTACCCGTACCCGGCCGCACCAGGGTCGCAAACGGCTACCCGTACCCGTACCCGGCCGGGTACGGGTATCGGGTACCCGGTTGCGACCTCTGCTTCACCGTCAACGCTGGTGTTGGTAAAGTTAGCACTGCCCCGGTGAGCAAGCTGGTCTCCGCCATATGAATGTGGAATTTCCAATCACTAGCTCGGCATCACCAATGTATTTGAGCACCAGTAACGTAATTAGAAATGATGATCAGCAACATTTGTGCATATCATTATTACTGTCATGATAATGATACTACATCTATGGCAGTTAAATAAAATAACGTGCATAATGAATGATTCATACATTAGTTAGCATGCATCAATATAATATTTTGAAAAATCAACTATTAATGCTTAACACTGCCTTATAATAAACAGAAACGTGCTTCAGCATTTTCTTTCAGTAGCTGTCCTAGGTAGATTTATTTCAGATTTATATTTACACTTGCGGCCCTCCCACCAGTATCCCCGCTTGTTTGATAAGTCATCAGCTACTCGGCCGTGTTAATGACGAGTGTGATTAGTTGTTTTTCATTCATGATTTGTGCATCGGTGCGGTCTTTAAATATGTTTTTTTTATTAAAGGAGGTACCAGTTATGCAGAGTTGGAGGTTTTATTGTACGGGGACACCTCTACTTACGAACGAGTTGGGTTCCAGAGGTCTCTTCGTAAGTCGATTTGTTCGTAAGTCTAACTTTACTCTGTCGATTCCAAACGTGTTGTACGGCATGTACACTAAACACGGGGAATGGCTTTAAAAGTTGTATATTCTCCTATAGATGTAGATGCCACTGGTTCTTCTTACTACCACCCTCAACACTTTCACCACTCTCACGCTTATGAGACATGAGGGGGGTTGATAATGTTCGTGAAAAGTACAAATAGAGCGTCGTGGTGAACCGCACAGCGACAACACAACAACAGATAATGGTGGCGGCACAGGCAGAAATGCTGGGAATGCTGGGTAATGACACCAAACGACCACCGCCATCTATTGCGCGGCAGTTGAACTCACGACTCTCGATCCGAACAGGCAACTGAACATACGACAGGTGTGTTCGTATCTATAAAACTTCGTAAGTTGAATGTTCGTAAGTAGATGAGTCCCTGTATCTGGTCGTTGACTGACCCCTGCTGGTGATATTCCACCGAATAACATTTTAACCCCTTGATGCATGCTGCAGTCACAGGCTACTGCAATTTCGCCGGCTGCAGAGGTTTTGTGACTGCATCTTGTGATTTTTTTTGGGGGCTTTACCTCGCAACAGAATTAGATCAGAGCAAACTGTGACAAATCTGGTGACTGTCTGCGAGAAGGTAAATTGCCCAGTGGGTTGACATCACATGACTTTTGAAGGATTATCTAGTGACACCTTCGGGACTTTTCGAGGTTCGCTTTTAGGAGTTTGGAAACGCTGACAAGCAGCCAGTCTCCTGCTCTAACGACGTGAGATTCTGTCTCCAGCTGGTTGGTGACATTTCCTCAAAGTAAAAGAAAAGAAAATCCGCACACTGTGATGTCGGTGATTTGCTTTCGCTTGCAAGTTATCGTCACAGCAAAGAGGCATCCGACAATGCGGTATTCAGCATGTCACCAGGATTGTTTATGTTCTCCGTGTGAAGGCACGTGGGTGCAGGGAGTGTTTTACATGGAGCAACCGATTCGCTCGAGTTTACTGGACAACCATTTGTGTGTTTCAAATTCGCTCTCCGATATCTCTCGTTTTTGCAAAATATAATACAGCCTCTAATTGGAAGTAATTCTCTGCCGCAAATAAATAAATTAGTGTAATTTATAACCACAATGAAGAGATGTCCTGGTGCATGTTATCGCACCTTAATAAAAATCGATTGTTAATATATATTTCTGCACTATTTTTGTAACCTGAGTGCACTGTAAATTCGTAGTGGCGATGCGCAGAGCTCTCCGATCGCTTTTGGGTGACGTTTTATTCCCTCCACATGCTGGCAACTTCTTCAGGCGCCGAATAAAAGCTCTGGGCGCGTGGAACAATACAAAGCGTCGTGCCAAACAACACGCGGCACATCCCGAATACACGTGTGGAGAGCTACGTGGGGCAACCGCGATGATAAACCTGTGCTGTAGGACGACGACGACGGCGATGAAACACGACGATGATAATGACGACGAGTGATTTTCTTGGACGTGATTTGGACCTGCAGATCTGCCTGGTGATTGTGGCTGTGTTCGGCGTGGTCGTGTATCGGGTCGTCATGCTGAGCGTCTTCACGACATCCGAGTTGGTGTTTGTGCGCAGCTACTCGCAGTTCTTCACTGCCGGGACGGGCGTCTGCATCAATTTCGTGATCATCATGCTCCTCAACATGGTGGGTTCCGTGCACGTACATGGGTGTTTGGGGGGGGGGGCGATCCTGCCACAGTGGTGTAAAGGTCAACACACTGCATTTGCAATCCAGAGGTCGCCGATTTGATTCCATCTGCTGGTACGGCAGCTGAAACGATGGAGCAGGATTTTTCTTTTTATAATCTCCGCCTCTGTTCACCAAGCAGTATGAATGGGTCCACCACGGTTGATGGGTTCGTTGCGTGTGGTGGGGTAAAGTGTAGGTACCACTCAGTATGAAGGAGCACGCAGGACACCTTCCAGTTGAGAACCTTCTGCCAGCGGTGGAGTGAGCAAGCAATTGCAGGGCTGCACCTCTACCTTTTACATCTCCCCTAATGGGTTTAGTGAGAGCATCAAGGGCCTCCATTGTAAAATCATAAACACAAATCTCTTCTGAGCCCGGCCTCATCATAAAACGTCATCCATCATCATCATCATCGTTAGCCATGTGGAGAGATCAATAGATGAGCACCGCCTGCTATGACTGCATCCCTTTGCGATGAGTTGTTGTTGCAGAAGCAAGTGAGTTAAAAAAAAAACACACAAGTGTGGATACTCCGACTTTGGGGTCAGCATCGAAGAATCGGTCAAATGCCTTCTAAAGGGGCTTTCATAGAGCGCCCTCTGGTGGATGACCCCTTCCACCGGCGATGGCCACGAGAAAGAAATGTACAGCCGTTTATATTCTTGGATCTTTCGGTAAAGTCACGTAGAAGGGAAATAATAAAATAAAATAAATTTTACATAACAAAATTCTCACGACGTTTCGGCCACAATGCAGCCCCTTTGTCGATCCACTGCTCGACATTCGCCTCCCCCACGCATGTGCAGGCGACGGGGAGTCATTTCACCGTGCTTCATCAGGCTGGTCACTGCTGCTGGGCAAGATCAGCAGGAGCATGGAATTGTCTGTTGTTGTTGTTTGCGACTCAACACGAGCCCAGTACAAATCACAGTACGGGGGGGGGGAGAGAAACTCCACAAACAACAACTTGAGATCAGCGTGCCAGGGCTTAATGAGGTGTGTGGGGGGGGGTAACATTCGGGCTCTCTGCCTCGCCCAAATGAGGACCACGAGCGAGACCCTGAAAGATGACGTGGCAGCGTTCTTCACTCGTTTTCAGAGGGGGGCCACTCTCGCCGATGAGACGTCGTCAGTGTCGAGGGTCCGCCACGATGGCCATGGTGATGATTGGGGGGGTGTTGTCACGTGTTGTGTATTGTGGGGGGCCGCACTAAAGGCCACCAGGAGGCACCAGTGGCCCACGGGCCTTCAAAGGCCAATGAAGAGCGCCGTTACATGGGGAGGGAAGGATGAGTGGAAAGATGAACCTGGGGTCCCAAATAAACGGAAGTCACAATCGTAATTAATTTTCATTTATTTTTGGCGACTCCGTCCCAACGCGCACATGAACGCCGCGACCCGCCTGGCGCGGATCGTTCTGCTGTCGTTTCCAAGCGCAGCGGCGAGTACGAATATGCAAACGAAACAAAACTTCAAAACTTTGATTGGCGCATCGTGTAGACCTCGTCGAGATGAACAGATCGCCGTGTCGTTCGCCTTCAACAGACGTAAATTGACGTCGCAACGCAGTTTATGCTCGAGCGGGGGCCTTATGGGATTCAGATGACTAACACAATGGGGGGGGGCGGGGGGTAGAGAGGGGACAGGGAAAGGGTGGGGAACCAGGGGGGGGGGCATGGAATTTTAACAAAGGTTGCTGCTGCACCAGAGGTCGCAATCGGGTACCCGATACCCGTACCCTACCCAATACCCGGCTACCCGTACCCGACCCTGGTGCGGCCGGGTACGGGTAGACTGTGAGTCACTGGTGAGTAACTGTTTGTCACTCATTTTCCAACGTCTTGTCTCTTCTCACAATTCAAGTTTCTAGAATCAACCCACCCGCGCCTGCAACATGGCTTCATCCCAGAGGTCGCAATCAGCTACCCGATACCCGTACCCTACCCGTACCCGGCAGGGTACGGGTAGGGTACGGGTACGGCCGGGTATGGGTACCCGTTTGTGACCCTGGTGCGGCCGGGTACGGGTAAGGAATCAAAACTCGTTTGCGACCTCTGTGCTGCACTACCCGCTGCTGCCTCACACCTGTGCAGTGGGTCACGTGGACACTCGGCAGCCTCACGTGGGTGCGATTGCCACGTCAAATGTTCCAATGAAAATGCGCTCTTCTTTGTTTTCATTTAAAACGGTTGACGGCTCGCTGTTCGTTTTTTTGTTGTTGTTGCAGATTTATGAAAAAGTCGCTGTGTTCCTCACGAACCTCGGTATGATGGCTGTACATCATTTTGTTAGGCTTAGAGTGACTATAAAAGCAATCACTTTAAAGACCATGCACTTTAATTCATTTGTCTGCACTGTGGAGTTTACCAAATGTATATTCCTGCCTGTTTGTGATAATATATGGCGAGTCACGATTATTTGGAGCGTGACATCTTGTGTGGTGGGTCTTTTTGAAGCCCTCTTTGCATAACATAGGAAAGTGATTTTTTGAATTACAGGAAAATCTCGGTTTTTTGTTGGTCGATTATCCATACTGCAGATTATCCATGCATGCGATAAGATAAATAAAATACCTTAACACGTGCTAGTATCATTCATAGCTGCTCCTCCATCATCGAGGGTCAAGTGATGCATTTGTGGTCTTACCCACGTGAACACAAACACGTCGGCAAGACAACCAATTACTTTAAGACAGATTTTTAAAAAGGGGGCGGCACATTTCACTCCTTCACTGCCATCCTGCGTAGTTTAAACAAAAGCAACGATGGCTTTATATACTTTTTAACGTTGATAATTTATTACGTCAATTTTCAAGTAGAGGAGAGAAAACAATCTAGAAATATGTGGACACCTGGGGTACAGCCATCGCAGTTGTTGTGGTGAAGGTCAGGATGCCCGCACATTTCTAGATGTGGCTCAAAGACACCTGCAGGTTTTGAACAACAATCAGGGTATTTTTAAATCCTTTATATTAAGTTCACTTACTTGCTTGCTTGCGCGCTTACGACCGTGCAAATCTTTCGGTCGTTTTTTTACCCACTTCTCGTGATCCAATCGAGCTGACATTTTGCACACAGACTCGTTGAGCGTGACAATTAATTTTCGTGAAATTTTTTTTCCAAAATGTTACACTTTTTAAGAACAAAAAATGATATGTAATTACCAATTGCTTAATGGTGCCAAGCAATCATCTGACCCATAGGTGGCAGCCATCTCAAGCCAGAGGACGAGAGGACTCTAGCTGCCACGCATATAAAGGATTTATAGTGAAAAACATTGTTTTTACGGGTTATACTTGTTTTACTTTTTTCCTCTCCCTTCACCCGTGTGAAATGAATGTTGATCATGTCGTGTGTACGTTGAACTTTTTTGCGCACCGTACGTAGCCAACCCGTGCTAATCGGAGGTGCGGGAAAGGACAACAATCTAAAGATAAAAAAGCAATTCTAAAGAAATGAGCTTTAAATTTTCTTCGCTATTTCTGTAAAGTCACATAATAATAAAAGCAAAAAACCACGATAAAAATAATCAAGTAAAATTAAATAAAATTCTATCTAGATTTAAAATATGTATGCTGACGACCTAACCTTTAAATACACAGTACTGCGCAAACAATCGGCTCAGGAGCAAGTATTTGTGTAGATTTAATATAATTATAGTGCAGAGAAACCGGAGTATGTGTAAGGTGAACGTGGCTGATCCTAGCTGTAACCTAAACAATTATTATTATTTGAGTTTACCTAGGAAAGCCTCACTGACTCTCAAGAGACTTTTTCAGCAAGGTCCTTCCACGTTTTCGCAGTCGGGTGGTATAATCCCATTTGAGTAATTTGCGGGCCATTTTGCCAATCACCGGGAACCATCCGCTGAAGAGAAGAGTCCCAACCTCCAGAGTGCGGCTGTGTGGGCACAAGAGGGCCTCGTGCCGTGCAAGTCGCGCGCGTGACATTCTTTGTATTCTGGATGTCGCAGAGCAATGTCGCACGGAGGCAGAGTGGGAAAACAGCTTCACGCTCAAGATGTTCCTCTTTCAGTTCGTCAACCTCAACAGCTCCATCTTCTACGTCGCATTCTTCCTCGGGAGGTAGGTCGGCCGCGCCTTCGGGAAGGACCGTCGGTCGCTCCGCGCGTTTGTAATCGACAGTAGAAACGTTCACACTCCGCCGTGCTTTCGCTTCGACAGAAATTACTCGGCACAACACGGAGGCAACGCAAACTTTACCCCTCACCATATGCAGTACTGGGCTATGGCCAATTCATCCAGCATGCGTCAGATCTCGGAAGTTAACCAGGGTTGAGCCTGCATTCTTATTATTGGATGTTATAGGTTGCTGCGGTACTATGCTGTGGGCTGCAGAGGGCAGTGCCGCAAAATCTCTTGTTCTCTACGACATCTATGATACTTATCTTCAACAACCCACACTGACCAGAGTGGTGAAGTATGGTCAAATAACCTCCATGACCCAGAGGGCGTGGGGAAGCCCTCATTCAACAGTCTGATTGACACAAGGACTCTGCGTGGAGGGTTCGTCCTCACTTACTTTGTAATTTTTTGCCAACTAAATTAAAATCCGTCTCTCAGCACCGAGGCATGGAGTGAATGCTTCGACTCCGAGAAACACAGTGACGCGTTTAACAATACAACTCGTTCATTGTGTTATAGGTCTTCGTCTGATAACCCTTAAGGGTCTATCTTACACTCATCTATGGATTGCTTTCTCTTCAGCTGTGCAGTTGAGTGATTTGCGATAGGCACACAGTATATATATGTGTGTGTAAATGTTGTGGATTTGCTCTCCAACACACCGGTGTGCTGTACTAGTGACGAATTGGCACGTTCTGTTTACGTGACAAACCTTACTTGTTGGCTGCGTCGGGTGGTGGCGGGTTTTAACGAAACATTTATATATTTACGTGATCTAACCCAATATACCTCTATTATGCAAGCTTAGTGTCTGCATTTAGACTTTTGACATTTAGGTCCGTGGCCTCTTGTAACAGAAAACCTCGATAACCACACCATGCCTGTCTCTCTGCTTCCAACAGATTTACCGGTCACCCTGGGAAATATGAAAAACTCTTTCATATTTGGAGGTTGGAAGAAGTAAGGAATTTTCAATCGACGAACGACATTTAAAGCAATAATAAATAGTCCTGACTAGGGTGGTGTATAATGCCTGTACAGGATATTTTTCAAATGAAACCAACAGAAATGCATAAGCATGTGTGCACACATCACAAGAGTTCTTTGTTACAGTGCGTTACATACTTGTAATGACAAAATAACACGTGTCTTTGATGAAGAATATCAATTCTGTAAGCACATGTAACATTTGAGGAATGTCAGTCACAACAAAATGAACACTTTCATTGTATTACACCTGTGATTTTCATGGCATATCAAGAGACAAAAAAAAATTAACCCGTAAAAACAAAGTTTTTCACTATAAATCCTTTATATGCTTGGCGGCTAGAGTCCTCTCGTCCTCTCGTCCTCTGGCTTGAGATGGCTGCCACCTATGGGTGAGATGATTGCCTGCCACCATTAAGCAATTGGTAATTAAATAGAATTTTTTTTTTCCTAAAAAGTGTAAAGTTATGGAAAATGTTTTTCACGAAAATAAATTGTCACGCACAACGAGTCTGTGTGCAAAATGTCAGCTCGATTGCATCACGGGAAGTGGGTTAAAAAACGCCCGAAAGATTTGCATGGTCGTAAGCGCGCAAGCAAGCAAGCAAGTGAACTTAATATAAAGGATTTAAAAATGCCCGTTTGGAACACTGCATCACCCCTTGTGTTAGAGAACAGTCTGCGGAAGCGGGTGTTACAGAACCTCCTCCGAGTGAAATTTCTATCACCACACCCTCACTTTCCTCGGCATCCTGCTACAGAAAGAAATGTTGGTCGCATTCCAATCAAACTGGTATTTTGTTTTCCGCGCCGCTGAGTTGCGGCCACTACGTCTGCAAATGTGCGCGCGTTACAAATTTAACTATTATTATTATATCTCAGAGCTGGAATTTATCCAAATGAAACGAATGAACATCTACGTGATTGGGTTTTTTTGTGCAGTAATTGCTTGGCTGTCTGAGACTATTTGAGAACCCAGTTTAATCACAGATGGCTGCAACCTGGATTCCAATTCAAGAATATCAGTTGGTCAGTTCAATGTTTTGACCTCTGAGCCACTCGGCCACTGCGAACTTAATTGTGAGTCCAGACATGAATATCGTGCAAAGTGTAGAGAGAAAGTCTATTGTGATCAAATACAAAACTCGCAAATGTCCCATTGCATGTTGCATCCCTAAGGTAATAATGCAAGGTAACGCACAGCGTTTTGTCAATCGACTGTTGGCTTAATTCCTCCCACACTGCATCATACCTCACCACACTGCTCAACGCGGGTTAGAGAAGTTGGGTGGCGACCCCAAATCAATTAATACGTCACTCAGTACCGATATTGACCGCGGTTGGGATTCAAACTCAGGTTTCCGAGGTTCACAGTGGAGCACCCTGACCGCGGCACCACCGCTTCCACCGATGGAGGGCACATTCCCATCATCGCACTGCCCTCGCGCTCGGTCTGGCAGCAGAGGCGTAGCTAGGGGGGGGGCAGGGGGGTACATATGTCCCCGGGCGCCAAGGTAAAGGGGCGCCAAATGAGGCTTACAACGTCACATTATAACTTATTGCGGCGGGCGCGGCAGCCTGAAACTACTGCACAAATCTACACCTCAACCTAAAGTTTATATATCCCGCCACACACAGCCTACATGTCATGTAATTACATTTTGGTATGTGATTACACGAGGGGGGGGGGGGGTGCCAATTTTATAGTTCGTCCCCGGGCGCAAAAGATCCTAGCTACGCCACTGTCTGGCAGACACGTGTCATCTTATCCGCTGACGCTAACCCCTTTCTCACGTGTTCCCCTGCGCAGTGCCACCCCAGCGGCTGCCTCATCGACCTGTGCATGCAGATGGGAATCATAATGGTCCTGAAGCAAACGTGGAACAACTTCATGGAGCTCGGATTCCCGTAAGCCACCGCTGCTCATGTTCTGTCGCGACTACCAAGGTTCCGGTTACTGTGAACGTCACTCCGCTGATCTCTCCACCCACATTGAGGACCCGGTCGACCAGATTGACTGCTGCAGTTCACAACACTTCTATTTCTACTCATTCCTTTGCAATGCTCGAATTTTGAATTTCCTCGCGTCGTCTCTTTTCCAAAGTTCCTATAACCTTTCTTGATTGAATGAATATGTTAGTTATTGTCTATTTAGTAGCTGACGACCACTCGTTCTTTTTTGGGCCTTTGCTCAGCAATTAATTTATCAAACAGCTCCATTATTCTTCTTGGTTCTTTTGGTAAAGTCACGTAGAATGGAAATAATAAAATAATAAAAATAAAACATAATAAAATCTCACGACGTTTCGGCCACAATGCAAGCAGCCATCCTCAGGTGAAGAACAGGTCTGTCAGAAAGACAGCATCTGAATGAGACGCTGTCTTATTTTATTATTTCCATTCTACGTGACTTTACCGAAAGAACCAAGAAGATGAATCCCTGCAGTCACGAAAGCTTTAAATCGAAAGCTCCATTAGTGTTGAACCGGCTGAAAACCCATTGAGACTAATTGCGTTGTTTAATGGGGCGACCTTGATTACAACATCAGATATGGGAACACATCAGTGACATACATTTAATGAAATGTAAAAGTTAAATAATATATATTCTTGGTTCTTTTACCGAAAGAACCAAGAATATGAATCCCTGCAGTCACGAAAGTTTTAAATCAAACAGTAAATAATATAATTTGAGCCAGGCTAATAGCTCTCTAGCGCTCCCTCTAGTGGTGGCCCTTCCATCATCAAAGTAATTGCAGCTGTACACTTTTATCAGTTATTGCCATTTATGCAGAAACACCAACAAAAATCAAAACCCGAATCATTAGCACTGTTTTGAAGCTTTCGTGACTGCAAGGATTCATACTCTTAGTTTTTTCGGTAAAGTCACGTAGGTAAAAAATGAAATTTAAAATTAATAAAAATAAAATAATGAAATTTTAAATTAATAAAAATAAAATAATATTTTTTACATACATTAGCACTGTGTTACAATAAAGAAATTCCTAGTATGTTGTTGTTTCAGGCAGGGGCCTTTCAGATGTCGTCTGTAACCGTGTCATCACAAGGAACAGAGATTTGTGTTGACTCTCTCGGATCTGGGTAGTAGGGAAATGTAACAAATCTATTCCTTGTGAGTAATCCTGAATCGTGTTTTCCAACACGAAGCAGTGTTCAACTATTCCAAGCCTTGATACTGTTCATTGCTGATGGGGTGGCCAAGCCACCTGTTGCTTGAATGTGGTGTTCGGGAACACTGCGAGAAACTACAATAGACGTGAAGAAACTTTACTTGCCGGTGTTTATTCTGTATGCACCTCCGATTAGCACGCTTGGCTACATACGATGCAACATAAGTTCAACATACATACGTACGTACAATAAAATGTAGATATTTACAGCATGTCAGTGCAGCAGCATCTCAAGGTACCGTGCGGAATCATTGGGAATATTTGTTTCGTAGAGAGAGAGAGGAAGCGATCGGCAGTGGATAAATGGAAGGCCCTGAGCCTGGGACCTAAACAGGGGCAGGGGAGTTGACACCGCATGTTGCAGGGAGAGTGCCGTTCCAGATTACACGGTGGTGGGGGGGGGGCAGAGGGGTAATGAGCAGCATCCCACATGCAACACTAAACTACAATCAAACAGGAGATGCGTTACGACGACCCCATCGTAAGTCGAAAATATCGTAAGTCGAAAATATCGTAAGTCGAAGATGGCATAGCCTACCCATGAGTCTTAAAGAATGGTGATAATTTAGCAAAACAAAGCAATTTACAGTACCGTGCTGTAAAAACGATATACTGTATGTATTTATTAATTGCAATACTGTATTGCCCAGTAAAATTTAAAGTAAAAAACAAGGTAAATTCTTAGCCTATCTGTATGAACTGCAATTTAATAGAAAGTTTTTTCAGGAAACAATCTTATCTGCTATAAAAAACTTTTAACATGCATTGAACATATCGTATCGTGGGGCGGGGGGAGGGGGCAGCAGAGGGGTAATGAGCAATCTCCCACTAAGTATCAAGTGATTTGTTCATGCTCTTTGGTTCTTTCGGTAAAGTCACGTAGTTAGAAATTAACTACGTGAAATAAACTAACTACGTGAAATAAACTAACTACGTGAAATAAACTAACTACGTGACTTTACCGAAAGAACCATAGAGTATGGATTCCTGCAGTCACGAACGCTTCAAATCTTCAAATCAAGATTGATTTGTTCATGCAGCACTAAACTACAATCGAACAGGAGAGGCCAATTTATCACCATCTATGGTACGCAACTTTAGGTATCTGATTAATATAGAATTATAGAGCGAATATTACGTCCAATCCACCGCTGAACGAGGGTGTTCACACACCTCTGCGGGATCATGAGGGTTTGTTTGACCATACTTCACCACGCTGGTCAATAATGTTTTAACCGGTATTTATTTTACCCACACGAGGAGGTAATAAGATGAATTGTTTCCGGCCAGGAATTGATCTCGTGATGATATTACAATGAGTAAAAGCGTTCTGCTTTACCAACAAATTTCAATCCTGAGCAAAAATGGGACAGATATGAACAACTGTAATATGTGTTTTAACACAAAGCTATACTAATACTCAGAATCAGCTTTGTTTCAGCTGATCTTGATTGGTCATATGCACAAGGTTTCCTTGATAACTTGAAGCAATCTCTAGCATCAATGCTGACTGCTGGGTCAATAATGATTTCCATGCCATTGAGGCCACAGGTGGCCTTAATGATGCCCTGTTGGCTGAAATGTTCAGTCAGAATATATTGATTTCTCTTGCAAAAAAAGAATCATGAGCGCTGACACAGACACTGTTAATGCATTCCTGCGATGGAGTATCATTCTTATTTCCAATCGCTTAGGGCATTATTTTTGTTTCACAAAAATTAGAAATAATGACGGCCATTTGTATTCTCATGTTATCACCGTTGATGTTGTGTTTTACTTAAATCTTATGTTACCGAAGCAGTTATTCATTACACATAGCATGACACTTTATTGAATTTTTTCTTATATTTTTATTGTGTTGTGATACAAAGACAAATATTCCCCATATAGTCATACAGTCTGTTTTGGCAACTATTTGTGAAGGCCAGCATGACGTACAGTTCTGATGTTTTCACACTGCACCAGGTACCCATTTTACGTATGTATGTTGAACTTCTTTCGCACCGCACGTAGCCAACCGCGCTAATCGGAGGTGCGGGGAAGGAAAACAAACTAAACACTAAAAGCAGTTCTAAAGAAATAAAAATGATTGAGTCAGCCTAGTGAAGGTCCCGTGCCATTTCAAATATCTCTCACTACCGATGTCAGCCATGGGCTGGGAATCAAACTCGGGCTGTCAACTTCTTGGTTCTTTCGGTAAAGTCACGTAGAAGGGAAGTAATACAATAATAAAAATAAAACATAATAAAATAAGAATTGTTTTAATAAAAATAAAACATAATAAAATAAGAATTATCTTATTATGTTTTATTTTTATTATTTTATTACTTCCCTTCTACGTGACTTTACCGAAAGAACCAAGAAGATGAATCCCTGCAGTCACGAAAGCTTTAAATCGAAATCGGGCTGTCAAGTTCAGAGTCCAGCGTACTAACCACTCTCCCCTACTGTTTGTCCACCCCTACCCACACGGCCGCACGCGTGCATGGGTAAAGGCTCCTCCAGAACTGGTGGGCGAAGAAGAAGCTGCAGCATGAGATGGAGACGACAGAGGATGACATGGCGCTGCTGCCTCAGTGGGAGCAGGACTACAGCCTGCAGCAGATCAACACCTACGGCCTCTTTGACGAATACCTGGAGATGAGTGAGTCTTTAGAGTGTCCATCGCTCAAGGGGGATGCATCAATAGATCGCCGCTGGCGTTAGCCGTGGACTGGAATCGAGCAAAGCTGCATCGGATTTTTCACGCAGTTTGCTAACCACGGTGTGTGAACATCAGCACCCGGGAAACAAAGACTAAAACTATTTTAAAATATCTTCTTGGTTCTTTCGGTAAAGTCAAGTAGAAGGAAATAATAAAATAATAAAAGTAAAACATAATACAGACCTGGTCTTCACCTGAGGACGGCTGCTTGCGTTGTGGCCGAAATGTCGTGAGAATTATTTTATTATGTTTTGTTTTTATTATTTTATTATTTCCCTTCTACGTAACTTTACCGAAAGAACCAAGAAGATGAATCCCTGCAGTCACGAAAGCTTTAAATCGATATTTTAAACTATTTATTGCTTTTTTTTTACCAGGTAAGACTCACTGAGCTATACAGCTCTTGCGAAAGCGAACTGGTCACAAATGATAGCTGAACGAAGTGGCCTATCGTGTCGAAATGTATCGCAGCCAAATACCCTAAATGCATATTTCTAAATGTGGAGGGAAAAACCGGAGGACCCGGAGAAAAATCCACGCGACCACGGGGAGAAAGAACATGGAAACTCCAAATATGCAGGCGTCAGGGTCGCGATCGAACCCACGACCTCCTGTATACCAGGTGAGGTAGTTAACATCTCCACCACCGTGGCACCAAGACGGCCGGGTGTGGAGCTTGCCTCACTACGCTCATCCCGCACCTCCGATTAGCATGGTTGGCTTCGTGCGGTGCGAATTCAGTTCGACATACGTGGATACATCCCTGCAGTCCTATAACGTTGAACAGTCTATAAAACCACTGCCGTTGTGTGCTTCTTGTGCCGGGCGCAGTCTTGCAGTTTGGCTTCACCACCATCTTCGTGGCGGCTTTCCCCCTGGCGCCGTTGCTCGCTCTGCTCAACAACATCATCGAGATCCGTCTGGACGCGTACAAGTTCGTCACGCAGTGGAGGCGTTCGCTGGCTTGCCGCGCCAAGGACATTGGTGAGCGCGCTCGTACTCGCGGATTGTTTTGACAGCGCATTCTATTCCTTGCTTTCCCACAATGTTATCCCGCTTGTACAATCGAGCGCCGTGTCATGAGATGAAGCATCCATTCGGAGCTATCGTCAAACTAAAATAAAGTGAAACGTGTATTTTACCAGGCTAAAGCCCACTGAGCTAGATAGCTATTTTTCAGAAGTGACTTAGCCACAAATGATAGCTCAGTAAAGTGGCTTATCATGTGGACATTTATGGCAGCCAAATACTCGAAATGCATGTTTCTAAATATGGTGGGAAAAACCGTAGGACCCGGAGAAAAATGCACGCGACTATAGGGAGAACTTGCAAACTCCAAATATACAGCAGGCGTCAGGGTCAGGATCGAAGCTACGACCTGCTGCATGCCAGGCGAGGTAGTTAACACCTCATATTGTTATGGAAGTCATTATTGACCCAGTAATCGGCAGAAGAGTGCAGCCCTTTATATTAGAGGACAGGCCGTAGAAGTTGATATCACAGATATACCTCTGAGATCATTTCAAGTGAACTCTGATCCATAACAATCATAACGATCCCACGTCATCTATCAATACGATCACATGGGCATGGAAATAGCCATAAGCTACTCAAAGTAATTCCCCGCGTCTTCCAATCCCCTCCACTTGACATGCACTGGTAGTAGTAGTGTAATAATACGGGAAGAAATATAATGGATATGCAGGGTTTGTCCTCGGGGGTATCTTAATTATATGAATTATTGTGAGCCGCCCATCGAGATGACATCACATGGTGCTTGGCGTCATAGGGGAAGCGAGGTGCACGCACGGTGTGTGAAGTAACGTTAATGTATTACGTTATGTAAATGATCTCAGAAATCTGATTAAAGATGCAAAAGTTGTCTTCATGAATCCAAGACTTGGAAAGCTGACGTTTTTTTTTACATCCAAAATGAATCTCTGATTTATTTATATATGTATATGCTGTGCACACGTGTGTTGCAATTCCCACTGTGACGTGAATGGTAGAGTGTGCACAATTTTGTCTGTACTCGTGGTGTTACTATGGGGTGGAGGGGTGCGTGCACAGCATCGGCTGTGACCTCGCCTCTTTTTTTGTCAACGATTGTTTTTATTGTTGTTCAAGAGCCAAGGGTACAGAAGGAATCACAGAAAAAAGCGGCTTGTGACCTGCCCTCTTAACGTGTGTGTGCGTGTGCGTGTATGCAGGGAGCGGTAGCGTAGCGGTTTGCACGCTGCGCTACGAACCCAGTGACCCGAGTTCAGATTCCCACTCACAGCCAACACCAGTGACAATGATATGAACCGGTCCTGGGTCCTCCCATAGGTCGACTCAACATCAAATGAGTACCTGGTGCGGTGTGTAAACATCGCCACTGGGGAGACAAAGGCGGTCGGGCGTGGTCCTGGCCACCCACCCCCTTACGTGCCGTGCCGGCCTTCGGAGGTGCTCGCTAAAAGCACTTGCCCAAACAGTCTGTCAAGGCTATACGGGGTGGGCGGGTGTCTTTGTCATTGTTCACGCGCGCACAAGCGCTCCGACGCACGCACCTGACATATCGTCCTCGCGCGCAGGGGTTTGGTACGGCATATTGGAGGGCATCGGAGTCGTCTCCGTCATCACCAACGCATTCGTCATCGCCGTGACGTCCGACTTCATCCCGCGTCTCGTCTACTTCTACCAATACGGGCCCTGCGCACGCATGACGGAGTCGGAGAGAGAGTAAGCGGTGCCACCGGGCGGACCAAGATTGTCATTGGCGGGGGGGGGGGGGAGTGTTGGAATGTTATTATTTGGACATAATACAAGCGCAGTGCGCCTTGTATAATAAAACTAGAATTATACTCAAGAGTCAAATTAAGACCTCTTGCCAAAATAAAACTAAACTTTGTTTCATTCTAACAGATAAGGCCCACTGAGCTGTGGAGCTCTTTTGCAGAAACGACCTGGCCATAAATGATTGCTCAATGAAATGGCTCATCAGGTGGGAATTGCGATCAGCTAAATACTCTGAACGCATTAAGTTGATGGAGGGAAAAACTGGAGGACCCGGAGGGAAATCCACGCGACCACGGGGGGCGAACTTGCCAACGCCGAATATACAGGCCTTAGTGTCGGGATCGAACCTACAACCGTCTGTATACCAGGCGAGGTAGTGAACATTTCGTCACCGTGGCGCCCATTGTGGCAGTACTCATCTCGCATGTATAGCCCTGAGCCAGTGGTGGAAGTTCCACATTCCTCTGGCAGGGGTGCGAGTCTACACAAAGGGCAATCACTGTTGACTTCCCCGCAAAAGGGATGATGGGCAGTCAGCCCCAGACCAGGATTTGAACTCGCAACATCCCCATTGCAAGCTGCTTTCCCAATAACTGAGCCACCTGGCCCAATTATATTTAATTTCACATTTTTAGAGAACAATATGTAATTGAACAACTGTTTTGTACACCAGGCAACCCAATTATGAGTACATTATTATTATTATTTGTGCAGTCTATAAAATATAAATGTTTTTTTTTTTTGTCTACGTTCCTAAATACTACGTATAAAAATAATCAATGCATTTGGTCCGAAGAACAAGATGTGAAAATACTGGATAATTATAACTTCATTAATTATCTGGGATAAATGTTAAGGCAAAGGTGTAGCCCTGCAAGTGCTTGCTCACGTTACTCATGGCGGAAGGGCTTCTGCTAGAGGAAGCACGCGAGGCTATTTCGGCCTACTTTTACACGCTGGTCAGGTGTCTTGGAAGAGGTGGAAGTACCCGCAGTTTTATACCAGCAAATGGAACCTGCCGGATCACAAGCTGTGGGATAAATGTATCCTGGTGGTTAATTACGTCATCTGGCCTATTACATAGCAGCGTTCAGCTCTCTATAGGGGAAGGAATCATAAGTGGCAGTATGCATGGTGGGTCAAGCCTGGTAGGCGAGGAATCCTTGCTTGATTTCACCTGCCTTGAATGTGTGCCTTGATGCTTTTGATATTTAAGGATGTATTGTGCTGACGAACAAGCTCTGCTTTTATTGCATGCCCTTATAAACAACAACAACAACGGCTTGCCCTGCGGCTTTTCTGACACACCGGTCCAGATGCAAGCAATAACCTTCATGCCTCCTGAGAACGAATTCTGAGATCGGTACCCGTAATTCAAAACTCAAATCAATTTTCGCAATCCTGAAGGTATCCTTTCGTAGATAATTTTGTCGACATGGCACCAGACACGATAATCGTTTAAATTGCGTGAGGCCGATGCAAAAATGTATTGGGTTGCTTGGTGTACATTTTTTTTTATAATAGTGCTGGATATATGAATACATTATTCAGTGGACATGCAATGATTAAAATGAATCATTATTTAAAATAACCTAATCAAATTGTGAATGTAATAATGGATCATTTACCATTCATCCCCAAAAAATGATATGCAAGCTATATGCTGATAAGGTGATGGAAACTTTAGAAATAAAATTGAGCAAGTACAATAAACGAAAAAAATGCAGCAATTAATTGCAATTAATTGCATCACAGGATTACTAGGGTTCTGGCAAAAGTGCAGCGTTGCAATTGCTTGCTCACGCCACTGCTGTATGAAGGGCTTTCAAAAAAGGATGCTCTAGAGATCCCCTCTGGAGGGAATTTGGCCTACTTGTATACTGTACACTGGCCAGATGTCTTGGAAAAAGGAGAGGAAGGACTATCCCAACTTTACCCCACCCAACGTGACCTGTCAATCGATCAACTGTACTGTACCCGTTCATTCTGTTCTGTACCCGTTCATTCTGTTGGGTGGACGGTGCAAAGAAAATTGTCCAACATTGTTTCAATTGCCATGCCAGGAGATCGAACCAGCGACCTCTCGATTACCGATCCAGTGAGTACTAACAATCACACCCACGGCCAAACCGAGTTTGAAGGAGATGGTGCATTTCATAGACCAATTTGGCAGTAGGAGGTGGTGAGCGTGGCCGGGATATTGCACATTTTGTTCGTAGCTACATGAACAAAAGTAATGCTTTTTTGTATGTCATACTTGACCCTGAGCTAGTGAAAACATGCGTTTTCTCTGTCTTAATTCATACAGTTGCCTGGAGGGCTATGTTAACAGCAGCCTTTCGGTGTTCAACGTCAGTGATTTTGAACCCACCGGGAATCCGTTGTCATCTCGATCGGACAAGAAGGACGGGCCACTAATTTGCAGGTATCAATGTGAAACGCGCGCACGTGCACACCCACACAGAGATCCTCCTGTGCAGCCCTGGCACAAATTGCCTGGAGCAAGTGCTGGCAGTGAGCAGAGATTGTTATTGGTAAGGATTATCATTATTATTATGGGAGTGGTACGTGGCGTGTAAGGATGCATTGATCAATCTAACAATATTGATTCTTACGCTGGAGATAGATGACGAGTGGAGGCCTAGAACCGGTTTAGATATTCGCCCCCCGATTCTGGCAGTGAACAAAAATCAAGCACAGGTCGCCGAGTTTGTACCACAACATGCCTTAATTGGTGCATGTTGGTTTAACATTCGTTTAGACGAAAGTGGACACCCTTAACTTATGCCAGTCCTTTTGGAAACAGCTGCAGCTGCCATGCATCATCAAATGTGACAACATGCAACCAAGATTGTTTGTTAAACCTAGCACTTATTGTCAAATTATAAAATGCTACCGCATGTGTTTTTTCGGTCGTGCTGTACAGCTCTCTGGCGTGTGTTCGGATTGCACCGGATGTTCTTTGTGGCACGATGTTCGACGTTTCGCTCCACACGCTTGGGGCACTCCTTCTGAAAGTGAACTTCAATTCCTGAATCCGAGCTTCAAGTTTGGCACGTGGAGCAAAACGTCGGACATCACGCCAAAACAACACGCACTACAGCCCGAAACTCCCATCGGTGACCTGTTCAATGCGGAAAATGTCAGCTTTAATCAAGTGTCCTTTAACCGTCACACCCTCCCGCCAGATACCGCGACTACAGAGAGGCCCCAAGCACAAACAGGGAGGAGCCATACAAGTTCACGCTACAGTTCTGGCACGTGCTGGCCGCCCGACTGGCTTTCATCATCGTGTTTGAGGTACGGACGGCAGAGGTCGCAACCAGGTACCCGATAGCCGTACCCTACCCGATACCCGGCTACCCGTACCCGTCCGGGTATGGGTACGGGTAGCCATTTGCAACCCTGGTGCGGCCGGGTACGGGTACGGGTAGGCCGTGAGTCACTGGTGAGTCACCGTTTGTCACTCATTTCGGGTAGGGTACAGGTACGGGTAGGGAACGGGTACCGTACCCGGCTGGGTACGGGTACGGGTACCCATTTTCGACCCTGGTGCGGCCGGGTACGGGTAGGTAAGGAATCAAAACCCGTTTGCGACCTCTGACAGACGGCCAGCGACTTCATAAGAGTTGTTTTGGCTGGAAGTGGCCAGTTTAGCGCGCTCTGGTTAGAATGCGCAGCTCACAAGTCAGAAGGTTGCGGCTTCAAGTCTTGGTCAGGACTTGGAGATAATAAAAACAAACGGAGTTATTGTTTGGTTGCGGTCGCTTGCTCGGGACGCCTGTTGATAAACGACTCGATTACGATCATCATATTACACTGATTTATTCGAATATATTTTAATTATCATCATATTGATGTTTTTAATTATGTTTGTTCATCATTCTGCTTTGAACCTGAAACTCAAAAGCACACATAATATAGATGTTGGGTTGGATCGCGTAAATATAAATGTGTCATTAAACCCACCACCACCCGACACAGCCGATTAGTAAGGTTTGTCACGTAAATAAAACATGTCAATTAGTTACTACTTCAGCACACCGGTGTGTTGGAGAGTAAACCCACAACATTTACAATTCGAGTATCGTGACGTTTCGCTGATAATTACAACCAGCCTCATCAGGCGACTCTGGCCGATGAACGAGTAACGAAGTGGCACGTTTTGTTTTACGTGACACACCTTACTAATTGGCTGCGTTGGGTGGTGGTGGGCTTAACGACACATTTATATTTACGCGGTCTAGCCAAAGAATCTCTGTTACGGATAATATTAATTCACGAAAGCCTACGCGTTAAGCAAAAGCAAACGGCAGCCTTTAAGTGTTCGCGGCAACCGAAAGCGCCGCCGAAGCCACCGTCTGTACGGCGAACTTTAACGCTGCCGCCTGTCCCCTTGCGCCTTGGTTGACAGCACCTGGTGTACTTCATCAAGCTCATCATCGCCTACATGATCCCGGACATCCCCAAGGGGCTGAAGGAGCGCATGCACCGCGAGAAGTTCCTCGTGCAGGAGATGGTGCACGAGGCGGACCTCGACGCCTTGCGCAAGGAGCGCAAGAAGACCGGCCGTTTCTTCCATGAGTGGCCCTGAGGGCTTGGCTGCCTATGCCACCGTTGAACTACTTAGAACACCCCTCCTCCCTACACCAACCCCTCCCCCCCCCCCCCCATGTGTCCATTCGCACCTGAACATATAAGAGCGTCTTTTTGTGACCTGGTTCATTAAAAAGAAGCACTTTTGTCTTCCGAATTTATTTATTTCCCATCGTTATCCCAACTGCCACTGAGACAAAGTATCCGTTCGGATATCTCGCAGTGCAACTCTTCGTGTTAGAAAATCGCCCATGGACGTGGATTTCACAGAGCTACCTCTGAGATCCCTTTGAGTGACTTCTGGTTCACGCAGTAGTGGGAAACATCTTTACACCCACTCTGCATATGAGAGTTAATGTCCGTCACGTGAATCAAACTGATATAAAACCTCTATTATGGATGATATATCATTCTTAGAGCTGGAATTTAAGCCAAACTAAACGCAGAACCAAATTCAAGTAATCGGTTGGGGTTTTTTTTTTGTGTGTGCAGTCATCGGCGAGGGGGCCTGAGACCGTTGATCACGGGCTGCTGCACGAATTCAAACGCAGGGGTCTGATCGGTGACAATTGGGCGCTCTGACCTCGGAGCCACCCGACTCCAAAACAAGGCGGCAACCGTGGCGTGGTTTGTTTTTGCCGGAGATGCTCCCACGTGGAAAAAATGGCGTGTGAGGGTTATGACTGAACAAAAATACAGCAGACAAAAAGAAGAGCAAAGCTTGAAGTAGTGAGAATGGATGATCATGTCGACTGGACGTCTGTGAGAAAAGAGCTTTATAGCTCATCGGATTCCTCCAGTCTAAATAATAAGATTTGATTTGAAACTGCCCTGGAAATCAAAACATCACTGATGCGCCAGCGGTAATGTCAACGCACTAATAACATTCATGTAAATGTTCTACAGCGCTTTCCACAAATCTTCTTAAGATTGTTAAAGATTGTCATCCTCTACACGGCACTTGGGGTGGTAAAACTCAGGGTGGAACTATTCACCCCACTGGCGAATTCAATTGATTGTCCGCGATTCAGGCTCGCAAATTCATGAATTGTTTTTTTTATCATCGTGTTGAATAGTAGCATCTCTAGTTGCTGCAGGGGTGCCATGAACACGTGACATGTAACATACAAATCAGAATACGTTGATTGTTACGTGTGTGATTCGATTAATATATTGTAAACTAAAGAATGAATATTGATCGATGCACCACCCCAACACAAGTAATATCAATGTCTGGCATATATACTATGTATAGCAGGGGGAGAGGAATGATATTTATTGGAATTTGTTGGGACGTATTTAATATGACTCAAGATGAAAAGTACTTTGTTACTTGCTGTCTCTTCTTCACATATCGTCTTCATACATTAAAATATAATCCAATGCATGAAATCTCATCCTGTTCCAAATGGCTATGTTTCAAAGCCTGTTTCTTTACCATTATATCTCATTCTCACAAAATACAACTCTTTCCAACGTAGCGTTTCACTTCAAATCAATATATTCTATTGCTGGAATCCTATTCAATTTCACAGCATTCTATTCAACTAGATTCAGATTCATTTCAGCCTATGTTATGCCCTTTAATTCCAACTGAAGTGTGGTCATTCATACAAATTATTAGTCGTTCCATGTAGAATTTCTGTACCGTATCTCAGGATTATAAGGTGCACTTATTTCCCTTCTGTATTTTACAGAAAACGGAGTGGTGCGTCTTATATTCTGGTAGGTGTGCATTAGTAACCAAATACGTATAACTTTATTGACTTTGGGTATAAGTTTGGAGGGAGGTGCGGCTTTCTTAGAATCTTAGGAATACGGTCAAATATATACCCATCAGTCCCGTTTCTGTCCCATTTGCTTTCAATACATTTTTCACAATTGAGAAATATCCAACTCACACTGTTTCAACGTACTCATGCTCGATCCACGCGTTGCCCATTAATGTTTCCTGCAGGTGCAGAATTAAGCACAAGGTTTGCTCTCGCATTCGCCTAGCATCGAGCAGAGAGGGCAGTCAACCGCTCCGTTGCCAAAGCAGGCCACTCGGCGCGACTGTTTGTCAAAGCCTCAGTATATGGACTACTCGTCTCTGTGGAAATGCGCAGTGCTCGCAGCCTGCGTTAACGTTGTACACGCGAAGGCCCCAAAACTTAAGACTGTATCTGGCGAATGCGCAGTGCGTACAGGTGTACTTTGCGCTCGCTTACGTGGACCTGCGCAAAGAGTAAGGTGCAAATAGTGGCAAGTTCTTCCCAGGTGAGTGTTTTGTTACGTTTGCACTTTTAAGGATAATAATAGCACAGCTCTGATGTGTAATTGGACGGCTCTGGACCTGTTGCTGTTGTCAGTGTGGTCATCGTTTGCTCGTGGTGGTGGGGGTGTTTATACCAAATGACTCTATAAACTGAGGCTTTTAATCTCGCTCTTTTTAAATAAATGTACTCCTTGGACATTATTTCAGCCAATATGTTTGTCTCGCAGTCTTCCCCATTCGTATGCGAGCAATGGCACAATTACAGAGCAGTCCTGTATGTGTTAGCAATCGTTTGCCATTCATGTTGTACAAATATCAATGATGATCCTTTAATAGTCATACCGCGGCTCGCAGGCAGTACATCTCGAGGCACCTTGGGGCAGAGGGGACCCCCCGTGTGTCACGAACTCAACGCAGCACCAACCAGATAGTGGACATTAGTCTGCCAGTAAGGGCGGGGGGAGGTTGGCGAATGTAGCTTAATTCCCAATCGGGTAATTGCTGGGTATGTTAATCGTTCAATCCATGCATCATCACACCCCTAGTTGTCTGTGACAAGTGGCTCAGATGACAGCAGGATAAAGTGATGAGCCGGGGTTAATGAAGACCAACTGCAGACGCGTCTCTCCTCTTGTGGTATTGGGGATGAGATGGCTTTGGCCTTGGTGCACGGAACATTGAGATGGACAAAGTTTCGGTTGCAATTAGACCCCTAGGCTTTTGGATCGATACGCCTTAACTTGCACGCCGTTACAGATGTTTAGTGCATTTCTTTTTATTCACATGATTCATTTACCGTTGTATATTCTGGTGTAGAAATGCCAGTGATGAATAACCCTTCCCCCCCTTTTTATAGCAATTTTTTAAAATAACAGTGTAATGTTATGATTGTTATAACGAGTGACTTCCTTGGCTGTTGAATAAATAGGGCACCTGTTGGTGTGCAATGAGAGGTAAATATGGCATCAAGACAAGTGTGGCGACGGAAGGCCTAGAAATGTAATGGAACTTGGTGAACCTTTCCATCATTGTAACGCTGACGAGGTTAAGTTTTGTTGTAATTTATTTCCACGCAAAGGCATCTGCGTTCAGCCATTCCCTCGCGTGAAATATTGCACACAACACACATTGGATGCTATCCACTTACTGTGTTATCATCGATCAATGTATGGAGGGGGGGTGTCTTTAAAAAACATTTCTAGGAATTTGAAATCTTTTTAAAATATAAAATGTCACCCGCCAGCCAGCCTCCCTCTCCATTGCAGTTTTTGAAAAGAAAAGTAAAAAAAAAGTTTTACGCCGTCATATTGTGGAACAACTTTTGATTATATTTTAAAGTATTTAATGTTTTATTTTTTATTTGGAGGCATATTAATATTCAAGTTGTACACCAAACTGCTATCAGTTTACACGGCTAAATAACAGTATGAATTCAATGCAAAACAGTTCTATGTATACCAACGTATGGCATGTTCTTTGTTGAAAAGTCTTCACGTAATGTTGATGGATATAATGCAAACGCTCAGCATTGTAATATCAGAATATTTAGACGACAACATAGGCATATGGCCAAAATATAGCTACAAATCATGTATACATGCATGCAGGTAAGCGCCACTTAATTCCATTTCTTAATCATACGTATATTTGTTTTAAAGCATGGTACTGTACAGCGGTGTGCACACGGGGAGACCTTGGAGAGAGAAGAATGGTAGTCATCTGACTGATTTACTTCATAATTGGCAATTTCTCTCCATCGTTAATGGGCTATACAAGTGCGACGCTAAACCAGTTGAGCCAAGGTCATGATCCATCCTCCCATTGTATCTTGGAGACGCGTGGCTGCGTAGGTTTACGTCACTGAGCTGTATATTTATCCGATGTGTTTGTGGGTTTGCCCAAGAAGCGTCCGGTCCTGAATAAGCTCGCGGCTTCGTTGAGCGAAACGTCGAATGTCGTGCCAAATAACAGGCTGTCCGCCCCTAAAACCCATCGGAGATGCTATACCTTCATAATAGAGGGTTTTTTTGGAGGGGAGGGTTTAGATGGCGTAATTATGAATTTGTCATTAAACCCGCCACCACCCGTCGCAGCCAATTGTCACGTAAACAAAACGTGGCAATTCGTTACTAGTACAGCACACCGGTGTGTTGTAGAGTCAACCCATGACGTTAGAATTACTAATTGGCTGTGTCGGATGGTGGCGGGTTTAACGACACATTCCTATTTATGCGATCTCACCCAAAAAAACACTTATGGACAATATTGGTCGCGAAAGCCTACGTCGATCTTTGGAGAGGTTCACAATTGCATTGTTGTTCTGGAAATTATGCCCCTATTTGTAACCATGAGCCAAAACATGATTGCAAACTCTCAACAGCAGCATTTGCAACATAGCAACTGATTGAATGCTTATTTTACATAAACTGTTTACACATCATAATTAATGTTTTAGTTATTATTTTCAAGAAATGTGTTTTCCAATGATGGCTACATACTCATGTGTTAATATTACATGGCATATTACAAAACCAGAGTTAACTAAAGTTGCCTTAATAGACTTCGAAAATAATAAATCGGAAATTATGTTACTATTTCTTTGTCCGTGTGAAAATGTTCATGGTCTTGCATGCACCGCTGCAATAGACGCGCAGCCATCCACAGAGGGAGCCACAGAGCTGTTTTGCCACCGAATTACCTAAAACTCAATGCTCATTGATGGGAGCGCACGTTGACATAATTAACGAGCACTTTCCACATTTGATAATTGGGTTTTTACCCTTTTATCTGGCAACAAAACTGACATATTTTTTTTACAAGGAGTCATGTTTGCATTGACCACAATACCTGCGGTCGGAATGCAAACAAAAAACACAACTCTGATCATGTATGCACTGTCCTTGAAATTGATTGGTCCACACCCGAGACAGCTTTTCTTAGAGCCTAGTCTCACATGGTGTTGGACCAGATGACGCCAAAAGGCGCACACAAGAAAAGGTGTCAGTTTTGTTGCCAGATAAAAGGGTAAAAAAACTATTATCATATTTTGCTACTGGCAAAGGAGGTTCCAATGGTGTAAATGCTTACTTTCCACATTTGTTTTACAAAAATTGTCTGGTCGTCAAGAGAAACACGAGTGGCGTTTTTTTCTCAGATTAGTGGCTCGCGAGTTTGTTTTACAGAAGCTCTGAGACTTCACGCAAATGAGGTGTAAATGGATGCCTGGCACGATGTTGCCACCCTCGGGGCACTCGCATTTCTAAATGAAGTTATAAAATCTCAGCGTGTCGGTGGAGAGGTAGCGCAACGATGAACGTGCAACACGCGCTCCTAACGTGGCGTCCTGAGTTCAATTCCTGGCCCACGGCTGACATCAGTGGCGAGAGATATCTGAATTCCACCCCCCCACCAACACTTCACCAACCTGCGAGGTGAAGTATGGTCATATGGTGAAACAACCCCCACCATCGACACATCCAGCAGTGGAATTTTTCAGACGCTGTCTTTCCGACAGACCTGTCCTTCACCTGAGGACGGCTGCTTGCGTTGTGGCCGCAACGTCGTGAGAATTGTATTTTATAATGTTGTATTTTTATTATTTTATTATTTCCCTTCTACGTGACTTTACCGAAAGAACCAAGAAGATGAATCCAGCAGTGGATTTGAAAAAAAAAGGCTGTGCATATTGTTATGTTAATCTCAACATGTACTTATCCACACTAAGAGATAGCAATTTCCCACCTGCCTTGCTATTGCGAGTAATGTTGATCGCATGACAGTTAAACCAATATTCTCAAAGATGGAATGCAGCCAAATTAAGTGCACAACATCAACTTTCTACACCCGAGGACTCGGTTTAATCGCCAGATCTTGTAGGCAAGAGAACTCCACAAGCACCTTGGAGCCAATTTAGTGCAGCTGATGTTGTACACAAACTCTCATGATGTTCAGGCGTGGAGGACTTCGTAACTAATCAACAGGGTCCACCTCTCAACATACCCAATGTGTTCCTTCTGGAGCAATGTTTTCCAGCAGCAATTATCACACTTTTACCAGGCATGTTTTTTTGACAGGGGACATGGACACCAATGAAAGAGCCCCGAGTTTAATATGTGGTAAAACAATATATATAAGAATGCAGTACGTTGAACCTGACGCCGTTGGGTCACAAAGCTTCAAGGTGCAGCCCTGAAATTTACTTAGTCGCACCAGTCGCTGGCTAAAAGTGTTTCACGCTAGCGGGAACTTAAGAGAGCCCCCTCCATGGAGAATTTGGCCTTCTCTTGCATGCTGGTCTTAGGAGAAGTGGGAGCGCCCACACTTTACTCTACCACACGCGACCTTCCGATCGACTGGACCGATCGACTGGACCGGTCGACTGACCCGTGGCGTAGTCGTTCACACTGCCGGGTGCCCGCCCGTGAATTTCAACTTCCGCGCCTTGAGATTAAATTGGGACCGGTGTAACAGGCCGTAGTATACCCCCAGGCCGTAGTATACCTGGGGTTAAAACGGCCTAGGCTAGATTATACCCGGGTATATTATAGTGTTGAGCGATATACACATGAATTACAAAATTTTTCCAACATTTTATTTAAAACTATAAACACATAGACTTTGATTGCTTCAACCATAAAAACTTTAATAATAACCCTAACCCTATCCCTAAAAATGCTTCAATTGATCAAATTGAGATTCTTACTTCCGTTTATACGCTTTTTAGATATCGATTGAGGTTCGTTTGAACTTTCACATGGGGCATATTCTGGCCTGGATGGGCATGGTCTGGCCCAGTCTAGTTTAAACCCCGGCAGGTATAGTTTAGCCAAGGACACTTTGTCCACCCGGGTATACTCTGGCCTGGGCCAAACTATACCCGGGTTTAATCGGGGCAGGTGGTTATTTTAGCCTGTTACAGCGGCAAACCTCCGCGTTACAAGTCGAGTGCGCCGACTATTTTACACCACGGCAGCGTCCCCTCGTGAAATTAAATAAGCGATGTCAGTCATTATGGCTTTCGTTGAACCGTAGATATGACTTTAGTGTCATAATGACCTTCGGATTTCATTCGCTCTCTTTGCTCACCGAGTAATGCGATGAGGGCGAGAGGTAATACGTGCAGCCATCCTTGAAGTAGCATGTTGATCCTTCTTTGTTGAAGATTATAATGATCCTCAGAATGCGGTAATATTTGGCCGTTGTGCGTCATGTTGGCAATCTCAATCAAGCATGTGCAATAGATAAAGCTGACTGAAAGAACGCAGCCTCTTTTCGACCGTGACTTCTTTGTAGCATCAAGCTTAACAGTGAAAACATCAATGCACAAATTATACCATATCGCTAGCGGGCCCAAATTACTATTATATAAAAAAAAATCTAGCAGTAATCTTACATTGATAGAAAAAAGCTAGAATTTCAGCTTCATATCAAATTTTTTTTTATGAGATTTGACATTTTTGGTTTAAAGAACACTCACAAACTGCATAGCGATTGCACGACACACGCGTCACTACATTTATTTTCCCGACCTCTGGCTCTTCAATTGACCTCGAGGTCTCATTTTTCTAACGAGAAAGATGCATGCAAAGCCATTCATCACACTTTGCATTGACGGCCAAACTGGTGCCAATGTCCATCTGGATCTCTCGCTCTATCTTGTTTGGCGCGTGTATTATTTTGGGAAAACAAGTGCGTCACACGTGTGCCCGTTGGCTTGCGGAAGAATGAGTGCAAGGAGATGTGCTCGTTGTAAAGGCAGACATCGTAGTAATATTTGCAGTTATTTCCAAATGCCACCGGTGACCCTCTGACAACCCACACATTGCCCTCAAGAGAAACTCCTCGGTCAAATTGTCATGCCCCTTTGTTGTTATTTTTTTTTTATAACTACCTTTTGTTTAACATGTTTGTTATACGCAGAATAACGGGCGACAATGTTTTTTTTTTGTGTGTGCAGTCGCAGTAATGTGTCTGAAGGTTTTATTATCCTCACAACTCCGGGCGTAACATTTTGTCAAAGTCATCCCAAGAGTGGCTGTATAAGCAAGTTCAAGCACGTGGTGTGCAGCACCTTCTTGACAATCCACTGCTGAATTTCGATTTAAAGCTTTCGTGACTGCAGGGATTCATCTTCTTGGTTCTTTCGGTAAAGTCACGTAGAAGGGAAATAATAAAAAAATAAAAATAAAACATAATAAAATACAATTCTCACGACGTTTCGGCCACAACGCAAGCAGCCGTTCTCAGGTGAAGGACCTCTGCTGGATGAGGGCCTCCCCACACCGTTGCGTGTGCCGTGGGATGTTATTCGACCACTGCTTTACCACACCTTGTCAGTGTGCGGGCTGGTGAATTATAACGATTTACATTTGTGAGGCGCATTTCATCCGTACATCCCAATGCACCGAAAGGGGTGATATGCTGCACTATCGTCTTCTGACCACCACATAATCCTGCAGCAGCCTATAACAACCTGGTATGCATGGTGGTCACCCATGCAAGCACCATCCAGGCTCAAAACATGCTTAGCTTCTGAGATTTGACATGATCCGAGCACATTGCAGGGAATTTGGTCACGTGTCCACTCATATAGAAAATGTGACATACTCTATATGTATACGAGAAATAGAGTGCATGCTCGTTCTTCTTGGTTCTTTCGGTAAAGTCACGTAGAAGGGAAATAATAAAGTAATAAAAATAAAACATTATAAATAATTATTTTATTATGTTATATTATTTTATTATGTTTTATTTTTATTATTTTATTATTTCCCTTCTACGTGACTTTACCGAAAGAACCAAGAAAGATGAATCCCTGCAGTCACGAAAGCTTTAAATCGAAATGCATGTTAGTTGTTATACATGCAACACCATTGGTTCATGCGTATTGATTGTGTTACTCGTGCAATGCAATTATGATATTGGCTGAGTGCAATATCAATTAATTGCACCGCAATAATTGGCAATTCATTTTTTTACGAAAGTGTATTTGTCTCCCCCTCAGGAACATTCCAATGTTGATTTAATATTTATTCTGTGCAGTAAATATTTAGAAGATTTTCAGTGCATTTGAGGAAAAACTATTCCTAACTGGTGTACATCGACATATTGGCTTCCAGTTCAATATTATCCAGCACTATTTGTTTAAGCGAGCAGACCTCCTGGCTTTCATCAGCAGTTACGCTTGACTTACCGGTTCTCGTTAGGAGAGTAAGGCCTATTAAACTAAAAACGGAAAGTATTTTGCTGATTGAACGGAGAGGCAATGACAGTGTGCTAGCTGCCGTACACAATGTGAAGCACACGATATAATTAATAATAATAATAACAATTATGAGGAAAGAAAGTATTTTTTTTTATATAAATACAGACGAAGACAGTTTCCCACAATTTTTGTGCGGCATGTTTGAAAGATACCCATCGTCATTACTACGCATTCATTAATCCCCCCCCCCCCCAACTTCGCGCAAGAAGTTGCTTTCAAGTGACGTCATCACATCGACGCCTCTATTTAAGGGACGAAACAGGAGGATTTCACCACAGATCTGGCTGTCGCCTGATGAAGCTGGTTGTAATTACTGGCGAAACGTCGTAC